ACTTCGTGTGCTTACGAGCTGGTTCATATATATCCTGTCACGTTACAAACAACCGATTTTTCAATTTGATAAGTATCAGTATTGACCTGTATGACAACTAGCGTTTCGGTGACATATTTGTACTAGTTAAATATGACTAAACAAATTTGTATAATTCAAAGCAACGAAAATATGATGATTTTGTAAACAATAAAATGTGTGTCGTCAAAAGTATTTTGAGTGTCATCATTTAAGGGTTAAACCTCGAAATACAGATAAACCGTTTGAAACACTGATCCGGAGCGTCGTCATACGCCAGTGACTTCACTCGAGAGAAAATCAAATGAGTATGTACCGTTGTAGGAGTAAACTGTAACAAATTAATTACCTACTGTGTATACATACATATGTTGTGGCCACATATATGTTAATGTTGTTTTAACATGAACTGCTCAATTGTCAGGTGATGATCTGATTTGAGTGCATAAGCTTGTATAACAGCTCTGGGTTATAAGAATTTTCAACATATTGTGATAAGGTCCGTAAAAGTGGTTAACATTTTCTATAATTTCGCTGGTGTTTAGAATTCGCGGATTTTAGTCAAAGCGCGATTATAGCGAAATTAAAAACCCCGCGAAATATAATCGCTGTACAGTATTGTGAAATACGTATACGTTAAGTATATTTGTCTTCCATATATAACCGGTTCTTATCTGCTTCCAAGGGGTGTAGCACTTTAGAACACAAACAGTCCTTTGTACGGGTAAGATAATATGTTTTAACACTGTTCTATTTAAATGTGAGGTTTAGTCTACCGTAAACATGTGAGTGCGTGTACACCGACATCTAGGGATTGTGACATGATTTATAGCCCACTATTATCTAACGGCAATTTAGATAGCTAGGACACATACAGAAATTTTAGTCGTGTACGTACAATTACGTAATACGTGTTTTCAATGAGCTTATAACCGGTTTGTATATATACTTCTAAGGCTGAACATTCACTTAACTCGATCACGTGACTTAAGTGAACTTTTGTCAACGTTTTATGTATAGTATATATTAAAGATCATATCAACAGGAAATGATATCATTTTCATTCGTTTTTGTCTCATTTCCTGATGGTACATTGATGTTTGAATTAGGGAAAACTATATTTAATGCATGTTTAATTCAAAAGCTTTATGAATAATAAAAAAAAAAGTGCGGACATTCTGAAGATCATTTATTACAAAAATGTATACATATAGACGCGATTTATGAAACAGTACGTACAATTAATAATATTTGTGCACTCTACTTTATAACGTTAAGGGAATTCTCCTCCACAGCACAACGTGTATTGTGTTTTCATCGTCAATATCTCGTCAAGGTAAATATATAGATCTGTCTTTCGATTAGTTAACGCAGAGCCTTATAGCTTATATTCACGAAATGTAATGACAAACCTAGAATACCTAGATCTCTTATGGAGCAATGAGGAAGAACCTGCACTCCTCCCGGCTGTAGTATGGACGAACACAACAGTAACGTTAATGGAACGGTAGACCCCGAGAGTATCGGTTGTGTCAAGCTGATTGGAAACTTTGATGTTTTAGAAGCAGAAAGAAGTAACATCGATACTGAATTGACTGACGACCTGAAGACTCATGATGTAATAGAAGCGACCAGATAATAGGAAACAATGTGATTTGGGAAGAACTACGGTAACGGCTGAGAGACATTGGGGAATGTAACAAGAGAAAAATGTCGGTTAAATTTTAACTTTCCAACAAGTATATCAAAACTTATTTGCCTTTTTAGATCTGATACTGCTATTTCAAGAACAGTATAATGATATGAATCAAAATTAAATTACATGACTGCTTCGATATTTTATCACTATGTAAATCTTTATCAAACCATCTCGTACATTTAGTGCGTGCAATTTGAAACATATTTCAAAGATTCGTGTGTTTTGAATCTAGAATCGATTTTATTATTCCAGAGCTTTTTATTGGGAGTGAAGATGTAAAATGTGTAACAGTCACACCGTGCGCTACAGACAACTGACCATATGAGATGTGTACATTGTAACAATATTACAAAAACCTATGAAGATAGTACAGGGTAAATGTTACTTAATTATTTTTTCATATTGTAAAGTAAACTTACACAACACACATGGCGGCACGTCCTTCAATGACCTAAGCTGTTAAACAAAATAAATCAAACCAAACATAATTCTAAGCGCACTTACCTAGTAGGGGAGACAATCTCTGCACACAAACCTGTACTAGATATGGTGAACCTGTGCGTTGTATTGAACCATATCTCTGTATAGTCATGGTCTCGATACGGTCTTTTGTACTCTACACAACACGGTTATACTTTCGGTATATATTTTACAGTATCGATGTTGAATAAGTGTCACTTATTGTCTAAAATCGTATCACCTTCTCCCTATCCACTAGTAAGTGTAGGTTGAGGTCACTGTTGCACATAACCTCTCTGATACTGTATATTTCCAGAAGAAAAAAACAAGGGAATATCGAATTGTCAACAAAACCAGAATTCGAAATAAAGATTGATAAAAATTAAAATTAACCCATCATTGCCTGATCTACAAAATTTGATATTATTAATGTCATCTAATGACCCACAGCTTTTGCAGGAAATAAGCCTCTTTATTAAAAAGTCATTTGAACTGAGGAAGGCAGGCTTGCAGAATGCATAAGTATGTAGTTTTTGCTGTCCATTATACAGTATCAATGTTTGTTTGATATTTGCAGCTCGATCCTTGTAAATTGGATGTAAAATGCAATAAAGTTGATTGATTGATTGATTGATAAAACTAGGGCAAAATATCAACAAAGTTCAAGGAGAATATGACCATGTGGTCCGGGAGGGTAAGCGTCTTCTGCTTCTGAACCTCGAATCATGATATGGTTGTAGACCTATTAGGGGGAGATAATTATTATGTAAAATTAACCATATACAATTATTGTTATTTGATGTTGTTATATATAGACAGTTTGTAATTAACACATCCAAACAATTTTTAGATATGTTCAGATATCACAATTAAAACCCCGTGACCGTGACACGTATGTATACGCATGTATGCAATATAAATTAACAAGTTATTGCAATTTTTCATACAATTTAAATTTTAGGACCAACAGAATATTTACGTTGATCATCATTTCGAAGATAATGTGGATTCCAGATTTTGTAGAGAAAAAAATGCTACGACAACTAACACCGTGACATTTTCTCCTAAAACAGATATAATTATGAAACATTTTTGTGTTCAAAACAAAAATAAAAAAAACTGTTATTTACTTTAAAATAAAATAATTCAACGTCGCTATTTATCGAAAAATTCCGCAATTAGACAGAAAAGTCATGACGAGTTCACGGGTGCCAAATGAGTTGAAGGGAGACATCAAGACTAATCAAGGGGCGCCACATTTGGTGACATGTGACATCATGAAAGGTGACGGGTGCTACACTTGTTGACAGGAGACACCATGCCGAGTTAACGGGCGCCACATGTTGTGACGTGAGACATTGTCCCGAGTTAACGGGCGCCACATGTGGTGACAGGAAACATCGTACCGAGTTAACGGGCGCAACATGTGGTGACATGAGACATCCTGCCGGATTTACGGGCATCACATGTGGTAACAGGAGACATCTTGCCGAGTTAACGGGCGCCACATGTGGTGACAGGAGACATCGTGCCGAGTTAACGGGCGCCACATGTTGTGACAGGAGACATCACGACAAGTTGACATGTGCTACATTTAGTTATAGGAGACATCATGTCGAGATAACGGGCGCCATCTATGGTGACAGGAGACATCATGCCGAGTTAGTGGGCGCCACATGTTGTGACAGGAGGCATCGTGCCGAGTTAACGGGCGCCACATGTTGTGACAGGAGGCATCGTGCCGAGTTAACGGTCGCCAAATGTGGTGACAGGAGACATCACGACAAGTTGACGTGTGCTACATTTAGTTATAGGAGACATCATGCCGAGATAACGGGCGCCATAAATGGTGACACTGAAGACATCATGCCGAGTTAACGGGCGCCACGTGTGGGGTCAGGAGACATCATGCCGAGTTAACGGGCGCCATAAATGGTGACACTGAAGACATCATGCCGAGTTAACGGGCGCCACGTGTGGGGTCAGGAGACATCCTGCCGAGTTAACGGGCGCCACATGTTGTGACAGGAGGCATCGTGCCGAGTTAACGGTCGCCAAATGTGGTGACAGGAGACATCACGACAAGTTGACGTGTGATACATTTAGTTATAGGAGACATCATGCCGAGAGAACGGGCGCCATAAATGGTGACACTGAAGACATCATGCCGAGTTAACGGGCGCCACGTGTGGTGTCAGGAGACATACAGATGCCCACAGTTTCGGTTACAGTGTCATTATGTTTTCCTTTTTCTATAGTATCTACTCATTTTCTTTCATGGTGTTGTTGCACTGACTTAGACATAGGATTTAACTTCGTGTGTTTACGAGTTGGTTCATGAGTTGGTTTATGAAATACGTTAAGTATTTATGATTCCAAGGGCTGTAGCACTTTAGAACACAAACAGTCCTTTGTACGAATCCTTCAGAACGGTAAGATGATACGTTTTAACACTGTGAGGTTTAGTCTACCGTAAACATGTGAGTGCGTGTGCACCGACACCTCGAGATTGCGTCATGATTCATTTAAATAGTTAGAACACATACAAAAGAACGTTCCCGACATACACACACACATCAGACACAGACTTCGGAAATGAGGCTAGTTAAATATCTTGGACTTGAACCGAAATACTTTCTTTGATTTCATGTAATTGTAGGGTTATGATACACAAAACTATAGAAATATCATAATTTTAGTTTTTTGGAGCAAGGTCCGCTATACTTTCTACCCACATTATGTCATTTTCCTTAGCAAAAGCCATACGATCACCTATGCATGATAACTTAAGAATAGTTGTAAATAAATCTGTTCGCTTAATGTGTGTGCTTACATGAAAACAATATAATTTATACATCCGGGTTAGTATTGGCTATGGCGGCGGGTGGATCACCTACAGTGCAATGGTCGGATAAGACCTATAGCATTGCAGAGATTATAAACGAGGAGGAATTCGATTTACCCTTATTGGTCAAGGTGGAAGAGGGCATCTGCAGTGACAATGATTCAGAGAGTTTTTCTCAAGATGATCTCCTAAAATTTGACTCGGTGAAATCGATACCGAAAGTAGTGGCGTGCTGTGTGGACTACAGAGGCCGAAACAGGATGTCAAGCGTAATTCGTGAGGACGAGCATGGGTACGCCGAGAAAACAGTGGACTTTACCATCCCTCTACGGTACAAGGGTGTGGTCCAAATAGTCCACCCAGAGTCCGGCACAAAGATCTACCACAACATCAGTGAAGTGCTGAAAGATCTCCCGAGATACGTGAAAGTTGTAGATTCCTTTGTATCAAAAAACAATATTAGCGTTCAAAGTAAATCGATTATTGAAGTCGACAGAAAAATTCCCGACGAGGGCCTAGTGTGTTACATGATAGATGACGATCTCCAAAATAGCACGAATAGGATAAAACTGGTGTTTGACCTTGATGACACATGTAGTTTTTTCTTGTTACCAGACAAAACTTATTACACTCTGGAAGAGGTCGCCAAAAGGTTCCCTCTGCCCCAGTACGTCACATTCATGAAGGAAAGCGGTCCAAAACTAGTAACGACCAACATACAAGAGGCGGTTGAGCATTCAAGAATATTTGAGGGCACCGTGAAAATTAAGAAACTTATAGAGCAGAAAACAATCATTGGTCACTACAAACCTCCAGAGCAGGAGGAGCTAAAGACCCAAAGTTTATGTCAAAGAACTCTTATCATTATTCCACTGGACAGTCCGACAGCCAGAGAGATCGAGGTGAGGGTACCACTGGACGTAGAGGATGACGATCAATACGAGCTAGTATTGGCGAGGAACTTCTCACAGATGAATATTATCAGTGAAGAAAACATTGATGGGACAATATATGTGGACTTTCTAAAGACACCGAAAGCTACATTTGTTCATTATGACGAAATAGAGTTCGTTCCTCCAAGACCACCCAGAACGAAAGGTAATCAATAATTCTAGTTGACTACATATTTGTCGCTTTTTGTATTCAACAATGATCAGTCTCCAAAACATTACCCTACTTTTTTTCACCTATTCACATTTAAATAAAAATCAGTGTTTTAAACAAATCCTGTCTTGTTTGCTCAAAGATACTCAGACTTCATGTTTCCTCAAAATGAATTCCGTTTTCAATAATACACAAACCAATACACATTATGTTATACAGCCTGCTTTTCTTTCCTAAGCATCAAGAAATCAATCGTTGATTTTTATTGTAAAAGGATATGTACATCTGTATATCAAGGTACCCGTACGAGGGATACATGACTATCTAACTCCAGTTAGTCAATTTTCATTTTGTATAAAGACATGATGTTTACAAAGTGTCTTTTATCATTTAAATTAACCAACAAGACTTAGTTTAAAAATGGTATTGTTCTCCCCCAACGTTCACATAGTATATCTAGAAAACCCTATGTTTCTCTTTGGGCATTATTCCTGTTTCCGATCGCGGAAACAATGCCAATGAACTATGATGTCGGAATGGGAAATGACGTCGTTAAGCATTGTTGATTAATGTTACCCTCCAGTTGGTACTCAAAATGCTTACCAACTTTTTTCAAGATTATCCAATGAGTTGGGGATGAGGAAACATTTTGTGGTTGTGGGAGAAATAGTAGTTCATTATCAACAAAAATATTTTCAGGTTTTCATCATAATCCGTAACTAATTAGGAAATTTTTCCATCGTACAGTGAAAAAGGACGAAGAAAAAAAGGGAGACTATCTGGAAAAAGACGAAGCAGAGCTCGTATGTCTAGAAGGTAAATATATACCAAGTAATACTAATACAGCTCTTATATCGAGAAGGTTAATATACCGTGTAATACTAGTACAGCTCTTATGTATAGAAGGTAAATATACCGTGCTTTACTAGTACAGCTCTTATATCGAGAAGGTAAATATATACTGTGTAATTCTGGTATAGCTCTTATGTCTAGCAGGTAAATATATACCATGTAATACTATTACAGCTCTTATGTATAAAATGTAATATATACCATGATATACTATATAAGACTCTTTCATACTCAGGGGTGTAGAATAGAGAAATTCTTCCCGAGGGGTTTTCAAATTTGGTAAAACCTGAGGCTTTTCATCTTTTATGTTAAGAAGGTAAATGCACTGTGTAATACTTGTACAGTCCTTAAGTCTAGAAGGTAAATATACCGTGATTTACTGGTATAGCTCTAAAAGGTAACTCTTAGCAAGATTATCTAATGAGTGGGGCTTGAGGAAACATTTTGTGGTTGTGGGAGAATTGGTAGTTCGCTATTAAAAGAAGCGTTTTTTAGCTTTTCATCATAATCCGTAACTAATTAGAAAATTGTTTCCTTCGTACAGTGAAAAAGGACGAAGAAACACAGGGAGACTATCTGGAAATAGACGAAGCAGAGCTCTTATGTCTAAAAGGTATATATACCGTGTAATACTAATACAGCTCTTATATCGAGAAGGTAAATATACCGTGTAATACTAATACAGCTCTTATATCGAGAAGGTAAATATACCGTGTGATACTAATACAGCTCTTATGTCTAGAAGGTAAATATACCAGTACAGCATGTATATGTAGAAGGTTAATATACCGTGTAATACTTGTACAGCCCTTATGTCTAGAAGGTTAATATACCAGTACAGCATGTATATGTAGAAGGTAAGTATACCGTGTAATATAGTAAAGCTCTTATATCTAAAAAGTAAATATATATCATTTTATAAAAGTACATCTTTTATGTTTAGAAGGTAAACGTACCGTGTAATACTAGTACATCCCTTATGTCTAATACAGACGTTTTATCGTTTCTGTGCTATTTCTGGTGATTGGAATGAATCCCCATGGATCTATAATAGGGAAAGGTTGTATTCAATTTGAAAACCATTCTTTGGGATTTCCAATCCTATACCTCTTGGTTTGAAGGAGTATTATAATGTCTAACAGGTCGTATGTCGTCTTGTAATAGTTTAACTCTTCATTATAATAGCATATATACGATTTATATCTCATACAACTATCTTGTCTATCTGGTTCTTCTCCTTCGAGTTGTTGTTGGATAATGTACAGAAGAATTCAGTGAGGTCGTGTCCACGGGAAGAAAACACTGAAAATACCTGCTGCTGTAGAGAAAGTACCTGGTATGACAGCTCTACATGGAATTGTTGTGTCCATACAGACAGATATACACAACTCTTGAAAACCAACTAAAAATCTCTGTCTACCGACCTTGAAATGTGAATACACAACTGAACACCGTACAAACGGACAAAGAAACCGTAAGAGAAAGAGCAAAGAAACACTCTGAAGAGGTAAAGTCTATGCAGAGTAAAATAAATTAACTTGAGAAAGAAAATGTACAATCTGCAGAACTGGATGACTAGAGAGAAACTACAGGAAATTAATTACAATATCTGTCGGAAGCGTTAAAATTAGCTCAGAATACCAAATGACGAGTTGACGAAACCTTGATTAAGATATCAGACTATGAAGGAATCGTCCAGAAATTCAACGACGAAGGTTTCAAAAACCAGTTGAAATGCGTTCTCTAGACGACCAAACACTGCGTTCACGGAGTTAGTGTAGTAAGTGATATCCTTGATTGGACTACACGAATGTAATAGACGATGATGTCATCACAAAACGTATCGAAAATCCCTCGTCTTGGCCAAATGGTGTTCATGGACGCGAGTCGTAGCATAATGCTTTCTCAGAAACAACTCGAGAACAATTACCAACTTTAATTTCAAATTCATGTGTTGGAACATTGAAGGTTTTAGGTCTGGAATGCCCTATGTCATTGATATTTTCGGTATATCTTGACATTTTGTACGGGATTGCAATATTTCTGTGTGTTTTTTTTTTTTTTTTCCTTTAAGAACTCGGGTTATTCATGAACAGTTAAACTTGTTCAAGAATTATATCCTTTCTTCCATAGATGTTACATTAGAGGCGGCGTCTGTGTACTGTTTAAATACAATTTAAGAGTACAAGAAATCGCTGTTGATAGCCACAGAGATAAAGGGCTTGAGGTCCAGGTACCAAATAGTAAATACCTTTATGCTTTTTCGGTTACATTCCCGTAACCTCCAGGTCGATTGATGTTTCGATAGAACAAATAGAAACACTAGAATCTTTAGTAGCTATGTACTCTGAGAAAGGGGCGGTGTCGGTTAGTCGATAATGACAGATCCTCTTGATTTCAGACCTTTTTCGATAATACAAATATGATACGGACATATGTAACGGTCCTAAGTACAAGTATTTCCCACTGATAGGATATAACACTCATATCCACCACATCATTATCAAATTATTCGTTTCGACTTAGACAAGATAAATTATATTAAAGTTGTCCACATATTTTATAGAAATCAGCGTCGAGGTTTCTCGAACACTTGAGCAGGATCAATAATGAGGTAAGGTTGTGTGTCGACATACGATCTACCAATCTTATTGAGTTATGTCATTTCTGTAGTATTTTACACACTGACATTACAACACACGTCGTCCTTCATGATACAAAAGCTGATACTTTAGAGACGATCTTTGGTGTCTTATTAGTAATAAGTTTGAAATAGAGCTAATTGTTTAATTGCACTCTTTGTCAGACTACATTACAATTCAAATACTTCTTGGAGGGATCCTCCTTTACAAGTTATGTGAATTAGGTTATGAAAACTGTGTTATGCCAATTTTATTTTTAATGATGAAATCGTATCACAAACAAATAGTAATTAAACGCACGTATAACTAAGCATATATTACCCTAAATATTTTGATCATAAACAAGCAATTTCTTTTTTATGTTTCATGTTATTTTTGTGAACGAGTCTATTTAATTACGATTTGACAATTTATAAACTTGTATATATAGTCTTTTAACTCTTCGAATTTAAGGAAAAATGAAATAATAATACATGTAGCAGGTTTATCCAATGAGTTGGGCAGGAGGAAACTTGTGGGAGAAATGGTAGTTCTTTGTTAATAAAAGGTCTCATGTTTCCAACATTATCTGTAACAATAATAAGAAAATAAAGGTAATGTTATTTATTGTACAGAGAATAAGGACGAAGACGAAGAGGAAGACTATCTTAGAGTCTTTGAAGCAGAGCCCTTATGTCTAGAAGGTAAATATAACTATCTGGATATCATTGAAGCAGAGCCCTTAAGTCTAGAAGGTAAATATAACTATCTGGCTATCATTGAAGCAGAGCCCTTATGTCTAGATGGTAAATATAACTATCTGGATATCATTGAAGAAGAGCCCCTATGTCTAGAAGGTAAATATAACTATCTGGAAATCATTGAAGCACAGGCCTTATGTCTAGAAGGTAAATATAACTATCTGGATATCATTGAAGCAGAGCCCTTTTGTCTACAAGGTAAATATAACTATCTGGATATCATTGAAGCAGAGCCCTTATGTCTAGAAAGTAAATATAACTATCTGGATATCAATGAAGCAGAGCCCCTATGTCTAGAAGGTAAATATAACTATCTGGATATCATTGAAGCAGAGCCCTTTTGTCTACAAGGTAAATATAACTATCTGGATATCATTGAAGCAGAGCCCTTTTGTCTACAAGGAAAATATAACTATCTGGATATCATTGAAGCAGAGCCCTTATGTCTAAAAGGTAAATATAGCTATCTGGATATCATTGAAGCAGAGGCCTTATGTCTAGAAGGTAAATATAACAATCTGGATATCATTGAAGCAGAGCCCTTATGTCTAGATAGTAAATATAACTATCTGGATATCATTGAAGCAGAGGCCTTATGTCTAGAAGGTAAATATAACTATCTGGATTCATTGAAGCAGAGCCCTCGTGTCTAGAAGGTAAATATAACAATCTGAATATTATTGAAGCAGAGGCCTTATGTCTAGATGGTAAATATAACTATCTGGATATCATCGAAGCAGAGGCCTTATGTCTAGAAGGTAAATGTAACTATCTGGATATCATGGAAGAAGAGCCCATATGTCTAGATGGTAAATATAACTATCTGGATAAAATTGAAGCAGAGCCATTATGACTAGAAGGTAAATGTAACTATCTGGATATCATTGAAGCAGAGCTATTATGTCTAGAAGGTAAATATAACTATCTGAATATTATTGAAGCAGAGGCCTTATGTCTAGATGGTAAATATAACTATCTGGATATCATTGAAGCAGAGGCCTTGTGTCTAGAAGGTAAATGTAACTATATGGATATCATTGAAGAAGAGCCCTTGTGTCTAGATGGTAAATATAACTATCTGGATATCATTGAAGCAGAGCCCTTATGTCTAGAAGGTAAATATAACTATCTGGATATCATTGAAGCAGAGCCCTGAGGGCTAGAAGATAAATATAAATATCTGGATACCATTGAAGCAGAGCCATTATGTCTAAAAGGTAAATGTAACTATCTGGATATCATTGAAGCAGAGGCCTTATATCTAGAAGGTAAATATAACTATCTGGATATCATTGAAGCAGAGGTCTTATGGCTAGATGGTAAATATAACTATCTGGATATCATTGAAGCAGAGCCCTTATGTCTAGATAGTAAATATAACTATCTGGATATCATTGAAGCAGAACCTTTATGTCTAGATGGTAAATATAACTATCTGGATATCATTGAAGCAGAGGCCTTTTGTCTAGAAGGTAAATATAACTATCTGGATATCATTGAAGCAGAGCCCTTATGTCTAGAAAGTAAATGTAACTATCTGGATATCATTGAAGAAGAGCCCATATGTCTAGATGGTAAATATAACTATCTGGATAAAATTGAAGCAGAGCCATTATGACTAGAAGGTTAATATAACTATCTGGATATCATTGAAGCAGAGCCCTTATGTCTAGATGGTAAATATAACTATCTGGATATCATTGAAGCAGAGCCCTTATGTCTAGCAGGTAAATATACCTATCTGGATATCATTGAAGCAGAGCCCTAAGGGCTAGAGGGTAAATATAACTATCTGGATATCAGTGAAGCAGAGCCCTTATGTCTAGAAGGTAAATGTAACTACCTGGATATCATTGAAGCAGAGCTCTTATGTCTAGAAGATAAATATAGCTATCTGAATATTATTGAAGCAGAGGCCTTATGTCTAGATGGTAAATATAACTATCTGGATATCATTGAAGCAGAGGCCTTATGTCTAGAAGGTAAATGTAACTATCTGGATATCATTGAAGCAGAGCCCTTATGTCTAGATGGTTAATATAACTATCTGGATAACATTGAAGCAGAGCCCTTATGTCTAGCAGGTAAATATTACTATCTGGATATCATTGAAGCAGAGCCCTAAGGGCTAGAGGGTAAATATAACTATCTGGATATCATTGAAGCAGAGCCCTTATGTCTAGAAGGTAAATGTAACTATCTGGATATCATTGAAGCAGAGGCCTTTTTATAGAACAAGTCTTACGTCTTACAGGTAATACACTGTCTATTTATAGAACAAGTCTTACGTCTTACAGGTAATATACTGCCTATTTATAGAACAAGTCTAACGTCTTACATGAAATAAACTGTCTATTCATAGAAGAAGTATTACGTCTTACAGGTAACGCACTGTCTATTAATAGAATAACCCTTAAGTCTAAAATGTTATATTACACTCATACCGTTTAAATGTCGAAACCAGTTTGTTTAAATTATTCACTAATTCCATAAAAAATAGAATGAGAACAGTATTGTTGAATGCTCCCTTTGTTGGAACACCTTTCAAGAGAGATTTTTAAAGTGTAACGGTTGCATGTTCTAGATGCAGACAAGGAAAAGGGCAAAAGTGAGGTGCGACTAAGGGAGACCACCACCAAAACAGCAACCAAAGTGGTGAGAGGATGTTTTATTAATGTTAATTATATGCTATCTTACTGTAGCATGTATTCCCTTTCCAGAAGAGTTCCACATCAGCCTCTTTATTGGTGACAATTTGCATGATAAACTGACGGATTTATTTGAAATGTACAACAACAAAATACATCCAAGATATATCTAACTCCCTAAAGTTACAGACATTAGTAAAGCATCAAAGATATCACATTCATTCGTTATTTTTATTATTTACTTATTTATTCATTTTGAATAACTATTTGTGCTGTTTGAACAATTTAAGTTTTGTTTTAAATATACTGTTCAACATTTACTATTTTGACTCTCTTCATATAGTATCTGATGTAGCGTCATATGTAGAAGTTACCTGCAATTTATCTATTGCACAAGAATGTATGATTATTTTGAGTTAATAATCCGAGATGGTCCTTTTTTGTGTTTTGTCTGTTGTCTGTTGGTTCACAAATTTTGCCTTGCATTGTTTGGTGTGATTTTGCCGATAGGTTGTATAATGACGTCATAGTGTATCATGACGTCATCATTTTTTTGTATTTTGTTGTTGTCTAAACGCAGTGCTTGTTTCAAAATAAACACATCCCCCGATAAACATCTAGGGAGAACACCTTTGTCTTTTTCTTTCTTTATATTTACCGTGTACTTTAATTGATGTTTTGTGTTATTATCTTTATATATAATTATTTTTATGCAGAAACATCGATTTTCTTTGCGAAGAATGCATCACAAACTACTCAAAATGTCTAGAAGGACTTCGAGTGATACAGTGACAGAGACACACCGTGAGCGGTTTGCATCTTTGACCTCCATGGATATGTATAATTGCCTTTTAAAAATCAACATGGTTGATATGGCGAAATGCTGCCTTGACAACGGATTCAATGGGGTGTTCTTCAACTCAGTCACGGATGAACAGTTAAAGACCGATTTTAATCTATCCCCTATTCAGGTGATGAAGTTTCGTAGGTTTCAGAACAAAGGATGGTTACCACAATAATTGGTGCATTATCTCCCCTGATGTGCTCTTATGGACATGACGTATGGTGCAAATAATAAAATCATGACAAAATTGTTGATCAATTTTCCTCAGACTGTATATATATTGAATATTGTTACCAATCCGTGCTATTGAGTTGACTCATTACTGTACCTGATTGTGAACGGAACAATGAAACCGTCTGTGAGAGATTATAAAAAACAACTCAATCCTCGATACTCCAGGGGTAACGCACAGTTTCGGAACACCTGGAGTATTGAGGATGTACTTGTTCTGGACAACATCCACTGTCGACTTGTGTAGATTCCTGTATCAACATGACATGTATTATACTTCAACGTTGTGTTTCTTACTACTGGGCTATTAAATCTATCATTTACAAACTTATATCTCGTCCCCTGGTCCCGAAAACCTCGGGGTTCTTTCAGGGATGTCACGTCTAAATGGCTGAAGAACAAAATGATTATATAGATGTCATAAAAGCTGATTATATTTTGTCTAATTGTGCCATGTAGACAGGATAATCCATATCTTCGGGTTAACGGGAAAATATCTAGATTCGGTTAATCGCGGAAATCCCTATCTTCGGGTAGATGGGAAATCCCTAACTGCGGGTAGATTGGAAAACACCTACCTTACGGTAAGCTGGGAAACCCTACATTCAGATAGACAAAGAAAGCCCTACCTTCGCGTAGACGGGGAAATCCCTAGCTTCCGGTAGATAAGAAAACCCCTTCCTTCGGGTAGACGGGGATATCCCTACCTTCGCGTGGACGGTAAAATCCCTACCTTTGGGAAGATGCCGAAATCCCTACCTTCGGGTACACTTAAAAATCCTACCTTCGGATAAATGGGGAAATTCCTACCTTCGGGTAGATCGGGCATTTCTACATTCGGTTAAATGGGGAAATCCTTACATTAGGATAGATAGGGAAATACCTACCTTCAGGTAGATGGAGAAATCTCTACATTTGGGTTAGACGAGAAAAATCACTTCAGTCGGGTAAATGACGAAATCCCTACCTTCGTGTAGACAGGGAAATTCCTACCTTTGGGGAGATGGGGTAATCCCTATCTTTGGGTTAGACGAGGAAATCCCTACCTTTGGGTAGATGGGGTAAACGAGGAAATCCCTACCTTTGGGTAGATGGGGTAAACGAGGAAATCCCTACCTTTGGGTAGATGGGGTAAACGAAGAAATCCCTACCTTTGGGTATATGGTGAAATCCCCACTTTAAGATAGACGTGGAATGTCCTACCTTTGGGTAGATAAGATAATCCCTACCTTCGTGTAAATGGAAAAAATCCCTAACTTCGGGTAGATTAGAAAACTCCTACCTTCGGGTAAGTGGGGAAACCCTACATTCGGATAAACGGAGAAAGCCCCACCTTCGCGTAGACGGGGAAATCCCTACCTTCGTGAAGACCGGGAAATTCCTACCTTGGGGTAGACGGGGAAATCCTTTTCTTTTGGGCGACGAGGTAATCCCTGCCTTAAGGTAGACAGGGCAATTTTCTACTTCGGGTAGACGTGGAAATTCCTACATTCAGGATAAAGTTTATATGACTGTGTTCTTCAATCTACAAATGTTTTCTATTACATAATGATAACCTACCAATATGTTTTATGTAAGTTTTGTAATTTTACATGAGTGGATAAGACACATATAATAGATTGTCTGTGGCTATAGATAGTATACCAATTACATATGGTTGATGGAAGATGAAGTGTCCTAATACCTTTGATTAATAAGACACATTTTACACACCATCAATACTGATTATACTGATTTCGATATACATGTAAAATTGTATAAATAAAACAAAGAAATTTAAAAACAAGGTTCGTTAGTGTCTTACTCTGATTTTTCTTTAAAAAAAAAGTATGAAAACATTTGTAATCAGTTATAAAAAAGAAATAACTGTATCTGTAATGCTGAATTGAATTTTAATGGATCATATCATTTTTCTGACAGCTTGGGATTTTATAAAAAGCAATAAAGCGTTATGTTATATTGTTTTCCTTATTCTCCAAATTAAATCGGATACATACATGTACCAATTGACAGATATTCATACTGCAATTCGTTTTGTAGGTGTTCCTTCAACATTTCTGTAATTCCGTTAATTGGTAACGACACAAATGCATTACACCTCCATTTCACAGAGCTAATAATTCAATTAAAAGACGACTGTGTTGTCAGGTTCACGGAGGCTATTGTCTTTCGTTCCGGTCCAAAACAATAATCGTACTTTGTAGAACAATTGAAAAACAAGTATTCCGTCTGCACTTTATGAGTCAAATGCACGTAGCTCAAGTGAAATACCATCTACAAGTTTCTCAGACCAAATTCTCAAAAACATTTGAAAAACAATACACAGACGGGTGTCGAGTAAATAGCAAAAAAACAGAAAGCCTCTTGTATTTTGATAAAAAAAATATATTGTTTGAATTTAGGGTTTTTCAACTAGTCTTTTTTACGTAAGTATCTGTCAGGGACATATATGTGCATACGTACCGATAAATCATACTAATCTTTAGATATCATCGTTTGCATGTGCATACCCCTGAGAAGACAGAATGAACTTAACACAGTGTTAAATCCATTATCTTATCGTTCTGAGAGGTTTATATATACGTATATACCTATACGACACAGTAGACACAGATTCAATCATCGTAGACACTGGTAACGCATAGTAGCTATCATCTCGAGTAACGACCGGAATATGTCTTTAACACAGATTGAGATTCCTGGTAAGGTAATTTAATGGTCGAATGAACACATCTATCCAGAAAAATAATCACCAGTTATATATACACCTAGAAAGATGACCGTCTAAAGAGGTGAAGGTATTAGGGAATCATTAAGAAACAATTTGTGTCATTCTTTTTTATCTAAAATTCACAAGAACTTCGGGTGGTTTTTTTTATGTTTTCGTTAGATAACCAATAATCATTGTGCATATAGACAGTTTTCCAGAATCAAACGAAAATATGTATCTTAGATAGGCAAAACAAAATCCACATGTTTTTAAGATGAACGTAACACACACACCCTCACCTATACCTAACCGAATACACACACACACACTCACCTACACCCACCCGAAAACACACACACACCCTCACCTACAACCACCCAAAAACACACACACACCCTCACCTACACCCACCTGAAAAGACACACACACCCTCACCTACACTCACCCGAATACACACACCCTCACCTACACTAACCCGAAAACACACACACACCCTCACCTACACTCACCCGGAAAAAAAACCACACACACATCCACACACACTCGCTCACACACACACACACACACACACACACACTCACACTCACACTCTCACACACACACACACACACACACACTCACACTCACACACAAACACGCAAGTGATTGCATCTGCGAAATGGCAATGGCGTATATGTCTATACGCTGCATATAAGCGTGTATACACGTGCCACAAACAGTCACGGGGTTATAATTACATTATATAAACCTATCTTAACACTGAATGAATTCGTACAAAATTAATACAAAGCTGTATTGTAAATGAACAAACGATATGTAAATATATATAGGCATAATCCGGACATCTAGTGTCCCAGCACTTCCTGTTAAGTCACCGCCATGGAGGCAGGTAGATCACCTTCATTAACATGGTCGGATAACACATATTGTATTAAAGACGTTGCACTCAAAAAGGAATTCAATCTACCGTTGCTTGTGAAGGTTGAGGAGGGCATTTACGGTAATAAAGAATCTGAATCGTTTTCGCAAAATGATCTCATCAAAATCGATTCCGTCAAAGTAATACTGAAAGTGGTGGCATGTTGTGTAGACTACCAGAGTCGAGCTAACAATGAACTACGTGCAATCCGTGAAGACGAGCACGGGTACATAGAGAAAACAGAGGAACTTACAATCCCTCTCAGGTACAAGGGCGTGGTCAACATATTCCACAAAGAGGGTGAAAAGATCTATTGCGGGGTCAGTGAAATGCTTAGAGATTGCCCGAGGTACGTAAAAGTTTTAGTCTCGTTTACAGACAAGAACAAAGTGAGCGTTCCAGTCGGATCCGTACTGGAACTCACTGGAATAGTCTCCTGTAAGGATCTCGTGTGTTACCTAGTAGATCGACCAAACTGTTCAAGAAGGACAGAAATAATACTGAAATATAGTAACAAATGGAGGTTCCGTCGGATACCCGACAACACCGATTACACTCTGCAGGAGGTCACCAGTAGATTCCCTCTGCCCCAGTACGTCACATTCAAGAAAGAAAGCGGCCCAAAACTAGTGACAACCAACATAAAAGAGGCAGTTGAGCATTCAAGAATATTCGAAGGCACCGTTGCAATCAAAAGGCGTATAGAACAGGACTACATTATTGGTCACTACAAACCCCCTGAATCTGTGGCGAACAATACAAAATATCAATGTCAACGGACGCTCGTCATGATTCCTCTCAATAGTCCGACTGCCAGAGATCTTAATGTGAGAATATCATTAAACACACAGGATGACGACGACTATGAACTGTTAATGGCCAGGAATTTCTCGCAGAAAGACGTTAGCGAGGGGGACATTGACGGGACAGTGTACATGGACTTTCTGAAGACACCGAAATCTACTTTCATAGTGTATGACGAGATAGAGACGCCCCCTCCGAGACCACTCAGAGGAAAAGTAGGTAAGTGTTTGTACGGTGTGTGTGCAGTTTGGTGAGTATCCTTTTTGGTTCTGTAGGTAAGTGTGTAAACACCATTGGGTCCTTGATATATGTGTGTGAAGTAATTAGTCCTGATGGAAACTTTTGCCTGTTGACTGTTTCTTGATCAAGCTTTCAGAACCATTTCGTTTTCATTTGTCTAGTCCTTTTAACCACATATGAACTGTTCTTTGAAGATACACCACATTGAACTTGCAACAAAAACATGCGTTGCTCTTACATTCCATCCTGTCAGTTATTTTTCTCAGTGTACCTAAAAGGTTAATGTTGAAATATTGAGTTCAGTGTGCTTACTTGGCCGTGCACTATCTGTGTTCTTAGTATCGTGATGCAATCCAATAATGTAGAGTTTATTGTTTTATTGAAATTGGAAAGTGGTGTGAAATATTAATTGTTAAATGAAAATAGTTTGATGGCGTGGATTAGCTACTCTGTTTCTGTCAATTACTACTATCGTTAAAAATGAGATCTGATTTCATCCTTCTGTACTGGTGCTAAAGTTTACTGTATTGAGATTGATTATACAATGCAATATATATATGTATAGATACAATAAAGTATATGTCTCGTAAATACCCTTTTAGTGAAAAACTCGCCGATTACTCCTCCTCTTTCGTCCCCTCCTGGTCCTACCTCTCCTCCTCCACTTCCGCCTAAAAAAGAGATGTCGGGGATGAGACGAGAAAGACAAGATGACCGGGGATACTCAAATTCAGGGAGAAACGGTATTGATAAAAACCTAGCGGACGCAGGTAAGTAAAAACAAATCTGCTCTTTAAAGGCAACATGCGTCAGAGACAAAGAGCTAGACGGATCACTGTACATCTGTCAATTCAGTTACCTAATTTGATAAAACAAGAACAGTGATTTAGAAAGCTGACACACCAAATATGTGCATGATGGTTGTGCGTCTTCAGCTGTAAAACATTTTATAAGCTTGTTATCGAGCAACTAACGAAGTTTTCGTGTCATAGTTTTACTCATAAAATGATATAAACTATGAAATAACTGAAAACTTACACTGTGAAAATTGCACGATTCCATTACATCAGGTCCTCATCCCTGTAGGTCGGGGATCGAGAAAATAATACACCTGCTGGTACCCACTGCATGTATGGTAAGAAGCGACTAATGTGATTAGCGTTCAGCATTAAGGGGGATGGCAACAACTGGTTCACCCGTTGTCAGTATAATATGACTGGGCGGAATGATGTGCTGGGTGCCTTCGGCATGATATTTCAGTGAGATAGCACCGTCAAGTCGGCATCAGATCCGAGCAATCACAAGGAGGCAAATACACCATCATACCCTGTCTCCTGCACACACACTAGAAAAGCACGCACACACAACACACATGGAGGCACGTCCCTTAATGACCTAAGCTGCTAATAGGCCGTTAAACAATATAAAACCAAACCCGACGTCTGTCTTTGTAAGTGACATAAATTACATGCATATTTCCCAGCTATTATATACGGTCACATGACGGGGTAATAACGGGGTAATGAAACATCAAGTCGCCCTCACGTGCTCGAGTTTCCCCAATCATATTCCCCTTATTCGGAACCTCTGTAAAAATTACAAAAAAAAGGCAAGAATCACCACAAAAGAGTTCAGAATGACTGAAGCAGAGGACAACAACAACAATGAGGCTTCATCTCTACTATTGAATTATTGTTTTATTTCGGAATAATTGAATTGTTATTGTCCTTATGGTAGGGAAACACGATTCTTCGTTTCTCCTCAAATTATCATCTGATTCGGGATTTGCAATCGTGAAACACGATCAATTTCGGAGAAACAAATCATCTTGTTTCCCTACAACAAGGACAATAAGTGTATAATATACATTGTGTATGAGACACTAAAACTGGAATGTGATATATATATTAAAACTTAGTATTTCCCTTTTAAAAGCATTAAATACCCTTCATCCCAAATATTGACTTTCCAATAAGTTTGTGATCTTTTCTTTCGACAATGTATACCAACTTATCCTTGTTTATTGACGCTTTGTTTTTGTTCTGTTGCTAGATGTACCTGTCACATATACAATAATTTATATCTCTTGCGTCTTCTTTTCAGTGACAAATTCCAAGAAAACGCCCCCTACTTCTTATTCTTCTTCCCCTCAATGTTCACCAAGAAAAAGCATGGCGAGGATGAGACCGAAATCACCGGATGGATAAACAGACACAAACTCTGGGAGAAACAATATCGAAAGAAAAAGGGAAGGATCAGGTCAGTTCCTTAATGACGTAATGTGTCTACATAAATCACTGATACACATATTTCCGAAAAACTGAAAACTTTGATTCTGTAATGTATACATATATCTACCAAGTGTTTCCTTCTATCCGTATATCAACTTATAATAAGTGTTCTGTATTCGCACGATTCCATGATATCAGGTCCTCTGTGTTTATACGACGGCTAAAAATGTTAATTGTGCGTATACATCACCATGTAGCTGATCACTCACTTATACACATTTTTCCAGGAAACAAAAGCAGTCTTTCAATAACTTGACAATTATGAAATTTAACAATCAAATACATTTATGATACCTATGTCTCTTAAATAAATGGATATTTTTTATAAGATAAGAAATGATATAGAAAAACTAATCAAAAAAATGTTTTATGGAACATAAGTGAAAAAATATCTTCTGAACTTTTGCCTAGCCGTTCGTCTATACGTACACGAACTAATCATTCATGTTCTCCACTCACAATTGTGCGTAAACGGTATGGATTATATACAGAATATCTTGCTATGAATAAATTGTGCTAAAAATGTCCTTCATGTCTATATCAAAATAATTAAGGTATAAATCATATTCTCCCTCGGAAGCACAACCTCACGACTTACAACTATGAGGTGTAATGCCGATAGTGTCTTTTTGGTTTGAAGGTTTATCTACGCTACATATTGGGCAATTTCTAATAGAGAACAAATATATTTGGATTCAAAAAAAAGTTACCAATTTTAAAATAACACGACAGGATTTGTTTATTTTTAAGATTCCTGAATATTGCTGCATGTATTATTATGTGTTGTGTTTATACAGGTAATGTTGAAATAAGTTCGTTTGATGGCGGTGGTGTTGATATTGTAAAGCAAAGACAAATTATATACTAGCGGGGGAAAACTGTGCATAGGTAAAAAGTCATATTCAAATGCATATCAATATCTTCAAAACCTACAGCAACAGTTTGTTTCAGAAAAATAAAAGACACGTTTCATATTAAAAAAACAAAAACACCCATTTATTTGCGTTCAACAAATCGGAGTTGTATCCGGGGCCAGTTCACAACATGCTAGGGAATGCTGTTCTAGAAGTGAAATCTTGGCAAATTAATACACCCACATTCTTCTGAGTCAGGAAATCAGTCGCAACACGTGAATCTGGCAAGCTGTAATGCCGCTCCAGAGAGTTACATTACAAACGCTCTCAAACGCGGCGTACCCCCGCGGTTGTACGCTTTGGAACGGCTGTTACATGTACTACTGTCCAGATGGAACTGAAACCTGTCTGAGAACAATTAATGCGTCCAATCCAGGCTAGTAGTTTGTTCGGACAAATCCTTCTATAGTAATGCATCTATTTCAATGAAAGATTCTAGATATGATAACTACCACATGGAGTTGTGCATCCTGGTATTATTTTGTCATTCTGACCATTTTTTTTACGAAGTTATGGCCCTATTTTGAAAAAATCTTAAACCTTTTTGTCCGGACAACTACTTCTAAAGTTATGGACCGATTTCAACGAAATTTTCCAGATATGATAACTAGTACCTACATTTGTGCATCCACGTTTTATTTTTTTCTACTGACCCTTTTATACAAAGTTATTGTCCTTTGTTTAAAAATCCTTGTCCGACAACTCCTCCAAATCTACGAGGCCAATTTCAACGAAAGTTTTCAGATATGATAACTACCATCTGATGCTGTGCATCAAGGACTATTTTCTCATTCTGACGATTTTTTACGAAGTTATGGCCCTTTGTTGAAAATATCTTGAAACGTTTTGTCCGGACAACTCCTTCTAAAGCTATAGACCGGTTTCAACATAATTTCCAGATATGATAAATTTTACCTGAAGTTGTGCATAGAGGTATTTTTTCTTTATTCTGACCCTTTTTTCGGAGTCATGGCCCTTTGTTCAAATCCTTGTCCTGACAACTCCTCTTTATCTACTGGGTCGATTTCAAAGAAAGTTTAAAGATATCGTAACTTCACCCTGACGTTGTGCGTTCAAGTAGTATTTTTCATTCTGACTCTTTTAAAGAGAGGTTATAGCCCTTTGTTGAAAAGAACATTTGTCTGCCTCCTAAACTAGTTTGCCATTTCCAATAAAAGTTTACAGATATCAATTACTACAAATATGTTTTGTAGAGAACATTGGTGTTCAGATATCCTTGTGGCGCCAGCTGTTCGAATCCTTGGACTCAAGTGAACTTTACCGATACCTGACCAAAATTGGACTTGATACAGTGGCTATTCGCTGCAGGGACAGACAACTTACGGGAGCTCACTTCAACAATATGACCGATGATGAACTCAGGGCGGAATTTACGTTATCTCCTATCCAAGTGTTGAAGTTTCGTCAAATGCAAAATCGTGGCTGGAATATAAAGTAAATTTAAATTTAGATAAGCATGTGACTATTTATAGCAATGTTCATGCAGTGTCAGTGAAAGTGGCCTATAATTATCATAGCAATGTAACTAGTGTTTCATTTGAAGTGCCTGTAAATAACTCAGCAATATATATTTACGGATTGACCTTCATTTTGAGGGCGTATACGGTAATATGAACGCAGTTGGCAACAAACAAAATATGTTCCATGGTTCTAGATGTTGAAGGAATCAAACAATGGCTGTCATCGAACAGTTATCTCGCGGAAGCTTGAACGGCTTCATATTTATAACAGTTAACTAAGCTGTGAAGAAGTGAGAGATGTAATTATATATGCATGGTAGCTAGTAGTGTTCGGCCTATCCGAAAGACAATACGGAATATTTTCTTATAACGTTAAGTCGTGGACTTTATTGTAGAAATACTGTTTTATTTACATATGTGTTGTGTTTATATTGACTTTATCATTGTATGATTTACTCCATACGTTAGATGTGAGCGAGAGGAATAGTGAATGCGTGTAAAAGAGGGTTTGGATGTGTATAATATCAAATGGGCACATTTCACTGTAAGCTTGAGCGCATATTTACATACCTATTATGAATATATTCGCTTACATTATTTCCACAACCACTATAGGTTTCCTTATTCCCGACTCATTGACTTAACCTGCTGTTTATGTGTTAGTGTTGGTGAGAGTGGATAGACATGACAATAAGACAATGTGAGAGCGAGTATGAGGGCGGGTATAATATTTGGTTGGCATTTTAATTTGAAGAAAAGAAAGTACGTACCTTATACAACCAACAACGCTAAGAACCATTGTAAACTGTTCAGATAATGCTTTTCAATCCTTATGTTTTCGTTCAAAACAATAATGAAAAGTTCATGTTATCTTTCCGGGTGTGTGTGTGTGTGTTTTTTTTTGGGGGGGGGGGGGGGTTCTTTAAATATAATGTTTGACAATCTGGTAGTAGAACTAATTTATTTACAGGAACAATATTATGTTTTCTATGATTTCCGTTGGACGATATATCTCATACGGAAACCATATTGAAGTTTTCATCAAAGTTTTCAATTGAAATCATGTCACTATTTGTCCCCGAATTATCCAACAAAAAGTCGTAAAGACCTTAGTAGTTTCATATTGGAGAACATCCACGTGTAATAGTTTTAGCTTTCATAACCGCGCTTTTAGTTGGTAGGTTTATTAAGAAGTTCTACAAAAGAAATGAAAGTATTTACACTGAACAACAATCTGACAGATGATATTTGAATATAATGTGGTCGACGGCATCCAAATGTTTATCACTTGTCAAGAATCTTGACAATTGTTCCACATGTGAAAAAGGTTAGGAAATTTTCCTAGAAAAGTTAAACTGCCTACGTAATCCCAGGATGAGAAAACGAATGATTTAAAGTATACGTTCGTGACAGCATCGTATAACAAATAGAGGTTCCCCAACGATTGATGGTTGGTTATCATGTTTACATTTAACTCGAGTTGGTAAACGTTTTAAGAATATGAAGACACGAGGTTTATCTAACTAGAGTTTTTCTCCTAAAACGTTCAAAATTTATCCATTAACCCATGTGTGGTTTTCCTTGGGAATACATTGTTCCTGTTTCCGATCTGGGAATCAGTTGCTGTACTATGACGTCACAAGGGAAGATGAAGTCACAATGCACTGTTTTCTGACGGCATAATTAGTAGATTGACAAATGAAATCCCGTCCAGGGTGTTACCCACTAGTGTGTAACCAAAACTGTTTACCAACTCCTAGCAGGTTTATCCTACGAGTCGGGAGTGAGGAAACCTGAAGTGGCTGTGGGAGAAATATTCATCCACCACATCATCGTGTGACAAGTATATGTATTGTCTTAGCGTACACAGAATACTTTTATAATAGATATCAAAACGAAGGCATTATTAAGATTTTTTGATTTTTTATTGACTGTGTTGTTATAACACAAACAAGGACTAATACACAATAGTGTAATATATGACTTTATAACAGAAACAAACTGCAATGATTAATGAAGTTACAATGTTATAATGAATATCAACGATCAGTCTATCATTCGACAGAAAACAATTACTTTTCACTTGAAACAACATGCAGAGTCATGTAAATATTAGGAAACTTTAAAAAACAAATATTGTATACTACATTTAGACAAAACTAAATCATTCGATACAATTTCAATTCAATTCATTACCAAGCGCACGATACCTATAGGTTTATGACAGTTACATATTGCACAACCTTTTACAAATGCCTAATTCAATTAACTCATTTAAATAAATATATATGTGTCCCATTATACTATGTCAGTAATATTTTTAAGCGAAGAAAAATCCAAGGGTTTCTCCGAAGAAAACTTGTATCGTATTAAAAGAAAGCTATTGCATACAAAGGTTTTATGTAAGCCTGTTCTGTTAATAATCAATGTTTGATTAAAATACAAAAATTAAATATTCTCATCATATTTTCCCAAAATACAGTTCAAGCGGATTTCCTTTCACACAGAAATTGTTTAACCAATGGCAAGTAAGACACACCAAAAATAATGTAATTCCATACAAAAATTACGCTTTTCCGCCTTCAATTACAAATTCTTTTAAAAACACAAGATAGAATCTAAGAATCACATGCTATTATCACTCTCCTCTATTCATTAATTAAGCTGTGAACATCTTTCAAAGTTTATCATACACATGGAGGTGTGTACTTGTCTCTTTGGATTTGGTTTCATCACGAAGCCTAACTCCTTATATATGGAGCTGTGACAAGAAACTCTCCGTCAGATCTCTTTGAGCACGAGAGTTTGCTGACGTCAATGTCGTCTGGTAACGTGTGTTGTGTGGCGTAATACACTGATCGCGATACCCCACCCTCACACGTCTTACTCTGGGACTTGACCAGTAAACAGTTATCCTTGACTAGCACTTTGACGTCATCGCCGGCGAGCTGGTCTTTGTTGAAGGAGAGTTTGAACGCTTTCTGTGTCTCGTCGATTACACTCTTCCCATCCTCCTCACACTTCTCCACTTCCTCCTCGACATGTGCCTCCACATCCTCGTGGTGGATCTAAAGTTCTTCATTAGGATTCAGACCTGCATCTCAATTTTCAGTTAGAGATTGGTCGAAGTCAATTGTGAGATCAGTTCCCCGAGGGTTAAGGTCACCGTCGGTATTTGTCCTTTCAGGCTCAACAACCTCAAAGTCCTCTTTCCCAATAAAGCTTCCAACGCTCTCGGGATATACAAAGGCGTCGCTATTCTGTGTGTCTCTTTTTGAGTCCCTCTTTCCGTCCTGGGCTGGTAGGGACTTTTGTTTGTCCTTCACGATCTCCACAGGCACCTCCAGAGACTCCTTATTTTCGTCCTTGATTATGACATTTGCTATGATAGTAAGAACACCATCTGATGAGAAGTGACTTTTCATGGAGCAGACGTCGACTCCTTCCGGTATAGTCACAGATCTGTTACTCTCGTAAACGTCAGAACAGTCCCCCTCCCCTTCTATGCGACGGGCTTTGACGAGGACACACCCCGCATCGGTGGTAATCGTGACGTCATCTGCTTCATATCCACTAAGATTCAGTTTGTGTACCCAGTTCTTGGCCTTGTGACGTTTGTGTTGTCCATACTGTTTTTCAGATTTCAGGTTCATCATAGACTCAAATAGGGGGAGTAGCATGGTGTCCGTCAAGTCTTGTAACAGTCGGCTGTCCCCGGGGTACGTGTGCAGAGGCATTTGACTTGGGGTGAAGGTCTGCCTACAAGTTGATGGTCGTCGACCCCAGCAAAAGTCCGGGTAGTGATGAGGAGCAGCTCTCAGTGTGAACATTTTATCAGGGGTTTATCTCCCCTGTCAGCTAGAATCAATATTGCAATGGTAACCCAGTGTATATTAGGTATATATCAGGTATTGGTCCGTTAAGACTGGTATTGTAAATCTTGTGTAGATGATCCTTTATGTGTTTGCATTAGTCTCAAAATCTAGTATGACTCTCAGTGGTCAGTGTAACGCCTTATATACTAACGACGGTTACTGGAGAAAACGCGAGAAACTTCCAGGGACGGCTAGTAATTATAGAACGTACATGTTACTATAAATAGGTTTCAGGTGACAGAACGTACGTAGTACCATATACGTCTAGATAATTCGGGAACTAACCATTAATATCATTTCATCATTGTGGCTATACCAGGTGAGAAACATAAATTTAGTTATAAGTATATGTTATCGCTCATGTACAATTTCAAGTGACGTATAAGATCTATATTTAGCTAACATGTAGTGATAATGTAGGTATTCTGTATACCGGGCTATTCTTGTATTTCGTCATCATGGTGACAGTCCATTTATACGATTGACATTTTTTGATATACGGTTATGTTTTATCTATTTACGTATAAGGATACATATTTTATATTGAATATTTTGTCACATCTGGACATACTCTAGTAAATAATCGTCCTAGATACAATGGGTTCCCATTACAATGTAAACATTTATGCCACAATTATCACTTGAAAAGAGAATAAAGACTTTATTTTGGTGACGTGACATTAACTATTGATTAAGTGTACATTACTGTGATATATGACAACATACCACCTACTGGAAACGTAGAGGCGCTGGAGCTTCCAGTATCCCTACAGTAACCGTCGTTTTGTGTGTCAGAAATAGTTTGTGTATAAACCAAAATGCGAGCTATATCCGCCACGTGAGATATAGACGTGTGGTAATAGTTTAAACGTATAACAAATGCAACCATATTTGTTCTTTATATGCATATCATATTTACTGATAAACATTAATTTACTTAATGCAGGATTAGTCCATGTAAAATTTCAAATATTTTGTTTGTCTGTTATCGTTTTACATGGTGAGTGCAAATGGATAAAGATACGTTCTGGGGGGTATGTAGCAGATATCGGACGAAACGTTGAAGTCAATTTAAACAAGCAGAGACAATGTGACTAAAGGTTTAGATATTTCTGATATGATTGGAAGCTTGAACTGATCCTATGATGTTAGATGTAAATCATAGCAGGCACTAACCAAATAGTGTTACATAAATGAATTTCATATATAAGCTCGTTTCAGGTGAAATTCACGTGAAAGATTTGCCGACCGCATCCAAATGTTTATCACTTGTCATGAATCGTGACAATTGTTCCATATGTGAAAAAGGTTAGGAAATTTTCCTAGAAAAGTTAAACTGCCTACGTAATCCCAGGATGAGAAAACGAATGATTTAAAGTATACGTTCGTGACAGCATCGTATGACAAATAGAGGTTCCCCAACGATTGATGGTTGGTTATCATGTTTACATTTAACTCGAGTTGGTAAACGTTTTAAGAATATGAAGACACGAGGTTTATCTAACTAGAGTTTTTCTCCTAAAACGTTCAAATTTATCCATTAACCCATGTGTGGTTTTTCTTGGGAATACATTGTTCCTGTTTCTGCTATGACGTCACAAGGGAAGATGAAGTCACAATGCACTGTTTTCTGACGGCATAATTAGTAGATTGACAAATGAAATCCCGTCCAGGGTGTTACCCACTAGTGTGTAACCAAAACTGTTTACCAACTCCTAGCAGGTTTATCCTACGAGTCGGGAGTGAGGAAACCTGAAGTGGCTGTGGGAGAAATATACATCCACCACATCATCGTGTGACAAGTATATGTATTGTCTTAGCGTACACAGAATACTTTTATAATAGATATCAAAACGAAGGCATTATTAAGATTTTTTGATTTTTTATTGACTGTGTTGTTATAACACAAACAAGGACTAATACACAATAGTGTAATATATGACTTTATAACAGAAACAAACTGCAATGATTAATGAAGTTACAATGTTATAATGAATATCAACGATCAGTCTATCATTCGACAGAAAACAATTACTTTTCACTTGAAACAACATGCAGAGTCATGTAAATATTAGGAAACTTTAAAAAACAAATATTGTATACTACATTTAGACAAAACTAAATCATTCGATACAATTTCAATTCAATTCATTACCAAGCGCACGATACCTATAGGTTTATGACAGTTACATATTGCACAACCTTTTACAAAAGCCTAATTCAATTAACTCATTTAAATAAATATATATGTGTCCCATTATACTATGTCAGTAATATTTTTAAGCGAAGAAAAATCCAAGGGTTTCTCCGAAGAAAACTTGTATCGTATTAAAAGAAAGCTATTGCATACAAAGGTTTTATGTAAGCCTGTTCTGTTAATAATCAATGTTTGATTAAAATACAAAAATTAAATATTCTCATCATATTTTCCCAAAATACAGTTCAAGCGGATTTCCTTTCACACAGAAATTGTTTAACCAATGGCAAGTAAGACACACCAAAAATAATGTAATTCCATACAAAAATTACGCTTTTCCGCCTTCAATTACAAATTCTTTTAAAAACACAAGATAGAATCTAAGAATCACATGCTATTATCACTCTCCTCTATTCATTAATTAAGCTGTGAACATCTTTCAAAGTTTATCATACACATGGAGGTGTGTACTTGTCTCTTTGGATTTGGTTTCATCACGAAGCCTAACTCCTTATATATGGAGCTGTGACAAGAAACTCTCCGTCAGATCTCTTTGAGCACGAGAGTTTGCTGACGTCAATGTCGTCTGGTAACGTGTGTTGTGTGGCGTAATACACTGATCGCGATACCCCACCCTCACACGTCTTACTCTGGGACTTGACCAGTAAACAGTTATCCTTGACTAGCACTTTGACGTCATCGCCGGCGAGCTGGTCTTTGTTGAAGGACAGTTTGAACGCCTTCTGTGTCTCGTCGATTACACTCTTCCCATCCTCCTCACACTTCTCCACTGCCTCCTCGACATCATCGTGGTCGATCTCAAGTTCTTCATAAGGACTCAAACCTGCATCTCCATTTTCGGTTAGAGATTGGTCGAAGTCAATTGTGAGATCAGTTCCCCGAGGGTTAAGGTCACCGTCGGTATTTGTCCTTTCAGGCTCAACAACCTCAAAGTCCTCTTTCCCAATAAAGCTTCCAACGCTCTCGGGATACACAAAGGCGTCGCTATTCTGTGTGTCTCCTTTGGAGTCCCCCTTTCCGTCCTGGGCTGGTAGGGACTTTTGTTTGTCCTTCACGATCTCCACAGGCACCTCCAGAGACTCCTTATTTTCGTCCTTGATTGTGACATTTGCTATGATAGTAAGAACCCCATCTGATGAGAAGTGACTTTTCATGGAGCAGACGTCGACTCCTTCCGGTATAGTCACGGATCTGTTACTCTCGTAAACGTCAGAACAGTCCCCCTCCCCTTCTATGCGACGGGCTTTGACGAGGACACACCCTGCATCGGTGGTAATCGTGACGTCATCTGGTCCATATCTACTAAGATTCAGTTTGTGTACCCAGTTCTTGGCCTTGTGACGTTTGTGTTGTCCATACTGTTTTTCAGATTTCAGGTTCATCAAAGACTCAAATAGGGGGAGTAGCATGGTGTCCGTCAAGTCTTGTAACAGGCGGCTGTCCCCGGGGTAGGTTTACCGAGGCATTTGCCTTGGGGTGAATGTCTGTCTGCAAGTTGATGGTCGTCGACCCCAGCAAAAGTCCGGATAGTGATGAGGAGCAGCTCTCAGTGTGAACATTTTATCAGTGGTTTATCTCCCCTGTCAGCTAGAATCAATATTGCAATGGTAACCCAGTGTATATTAGGGATATATCAGGTATTGGTCCGTTTAGACTGGTATTGTAAATCTTGTGTAGTTGATCCTTTATGTGTTTGCATTAGTCTCAAAACCTAGTATGACTCTCAGTGATCAGTGTAACGCCTTATATACTAACGACGGTTACTGAGAAAACGCGAGAAACTTCCAGGGACGGCTAGTAACTATAGAACATACATGTTACTATAAATAGGTTTCAGGTGACAGAACGTACGTAGTACCATATACGTCTAGATGATTCGGGAACTATCCTTTAATACCATTTTCATCATTGTGGCTATACCAGGTGAGAAACATAAATTTAGTTATAAAGTATATGTTATCGCTCACGCACAATTTCAAGTGACGTATAAGATCTATATTTAGCTAACATGTAGTGATAATGTAGGTATTCTGTATACCGGGCTATTCTTGTATTTCGTCATCATGGTGACAGTCCATTTATACGATTGACACTTCTTGATATACGGTTATGTTTTATCTATTTACGTATAAGGATACATATTTTATATTGAATATTTTGTCACATCTGGACATACTCTAGTAAATAATCGTCCTAGATACAATGGGCTCCCATTACAATGTAAACATTTATGCCACAATTATCACTTGAAAAGAGAATAAAGACTTTATTTTGGTGACTTGACATTAACTATTGATTAAGTGTACATTAATGTGATATATGACAACATACCACCTACTGGAAACGTAGACGCGCTGGAGCTTCCAGTATCCCTACAGTAACCGTCGTTTTGTGTGTCAGAAATAGTTTGTGTGTAAACCAAAATGCGAGCTATATCCGCCACGTGAGATATAGACGTGTGGTAATAGTTTATAACGTATAACAAATGCAACCATATTTGTTCTTTATATATATATCATATTTACTGATAAACATTAATTTACTAAGTGCAGGATTATTCCATGTAAAATTTCAAATATTTTGTTTGTCTGTTATCGTTTTACATGGTGAGTGCAAATGGATAAAGATACGTTCTGGGGGTTATGTAGCAGATATCGGACGAAACGTTAAAGTCAATTTAAACAAGCAGAGACAATGTGACAAAAGGTTTAGATATTTCTGATAAGATTGGGAGCTTGAACTGATCCTATGATGTTAGATGTAAATCATATCAGGCACTAACCAAAAAGTGTTATTTAAATGAATTTCATATATAAGCTCGTTTCAGGTGAAATTCACGTGAAAGATTTGCCGACCGCATCCAAATGTTTATCACTTGTCATGAATAGTGACAACTGTTCCATATGTGAAAAAGGTTAGGAACTGTTCCTAGTAAAGTTTAACTGCCTACGTAATCCCAAGATGAGAAAACGAATGATTTAAAGTATACGTTCGTGACAGCATCGTATGACAAATAGAGGTTCCCCAACGATTGGTGGCTGGTTATCATGTTTACATTTAACTCGAGTTGGTAAACGTTTTAAGAATATGAAGACACGAGGTTTATCTAACTAGAGTTTTTCTCGTAAAACATTCAAAATTTATCCATTAACCAATGTGTGGTTTTTCTTGGGAATACATTGTTCCTGTTTCCGATCTGGGAAACAATTGCTGTGCTATGACGTCACAAGGGAAGATGAAGTCACAATGCAATGTTCCTTGACGGCATAATTAGAAGATTGACAAATGAAATCCCGTCCAGGGTGTTACCAACTAGTGTGTAACCAAAACTGTTTACCAACTCCTAGCAGGTTTATCCTTTGAGTCGGGAGTGAGGAAACCTGTAGTGGCTGTGGGAGAAATATACATCCACCACATCATCGTGTGACAAGTATATGTATTGTCTTAGCGTACACAGAATACTTTTATAATAGATATCAAAACGAAGGCATTATTAAGATTTTTTGATTTTTTATTGACTGTGTTGTTATAACACAAACAAGGACTAATACACAATAGTGTAATATATGACTTTATAACAGAAACAAACTGCAATGATTAATGAAGTTACAATGTTATAATGAATATCAACGATCAGTCTATCATTCGACAGAAAACATTTACTTTTCACTTGAAACAACATTCAGAGTCATGTAAATATTAGGAAACTCTAAAAAAAACAAATATTGTATACTACATTTAGACAAAACTTAATCATTCGATACAATTTCAATTCAGTTCATTACCAAGCGCACGATACCTATAGGTTTATGAAAGTTACATATTGCACAACCTTTTACAAATGCCTAATTCAATTAACTCATTTAAATAAATATATATGTGTCCCATTATACTATGTCAGTAATATTTTTAAGCGAAGAAAAAAACAAGGGTTTTTCCGAAGAAAACTTGTATCATATTAAAAAAATCTATTGCATACAAAGGTTTTATGTAAGCCTGTTCTGTTAATAATCAATGTTTGATTAAAATACAAAAATTAAATATTCTCATCATATTATCCCAAAATACAGTTCAAGCGGATTTCCTTTCACACAGAAATTGTTTAACCAATGGCAAGTAAGACACACTAAAAATAATATAATTCCATACAAAAATTACGCTTATCCGCCTTCAATTACAAATTCTTTTCAAAACACATGATAGAACCTAAGAATCACATGTTATTATCACTCTCCTCTATTCATTAATTAAGCTGTGAACATCTTTCAACGTTTATCATACACATGGAGGTGTGTACTTGTCTCTTTGGATTTGGTTTCATCACGAAGCCTAACTCCTTATATATGGAGCTGTGACAAGAAACTCTCCGTCAGATGTCTTTGAGCACGAGAGTTTGCTGACGTCAATGTCGTCTGGTAACGTGTGTTGTGTGGCGTAATACACTGATCGCGATACCCCACCCTCACACGTCTTACTCTGGGACTTGACCAGTAAACAGTTATCCTTGACTAGCACTTTGACGTCATCGCCGGCGAGCTGGTCTTTGTTGAAGGACAGTTTGAACGCCTTCTGTGTCTCGTCGATTACACTCTTCCCATCCTCCTCACACTTCTCCACCGCCTCCTCGACATGTGTCTCCACATCCTCGTGGTGGATCTCAAGTTCTTCATTAGGACTCAGACCTGCATCTCAATTTTCAGTTAGAGATTGGTCGAAGTCAATTGTGAGATCAGTTCCCCGAGGGTTAAGGTCACCGTCGGTATTTGTCCTTTCAGGCTCAACAACCTCAAAGTCCTCTTTCCCAATAAAGCTTCCAACGCTCTCGGGATACACAAAGGCGTCGCTATTCTGTGTGTCTCTTTTTGAGTCCCCCTTTCCGTCCTGGGCTGGTAGGGACTTTTGTTTGTCCTTCACGATCTCCACAGGCACCTCCAGAGACTCCTTATTTTCGTCCTTGATTATGACATTTGCTATGATAGTAAGAACACCATCTGATGAGAAGTGACTTTTCATGGAGCAGACGTCGACTCCTTCCGGTATAGTCACAGATCTGTTACTCTCGTAAACGTCAGAACAGTCCCCCTCCCCTTCTATGCGACGGGCTTTGACGAGGACACACCCCGCATCGGTGGTAATCGTGACGTCATCTGCTTCATATCCACTAAGATTCAGTTTGTGTACCCAGTTCTTGGCCTTGTGACGTTTGTGTTGTCCATACTGTTTTTCAGATTTCAGGTTCATCATAGACTCAAATAGGGGGAGTAGCATGGTGTCCGTCAAGTCTTGTAACAGTCGGCTGTCCCCGGGGTACGTGTGCAGAGGCATTTGACTTGGGGTGAAGGTCTGCCTACAAGTTGATGGTCGTCGACCCCAGCAAAAGTCCGGGTAGTGATGAGGAGCAGCTCTCAGTGTGAACATTTTATCAGGGGTTTATCTCCCCTGTCAGCTAGAATCAATATTGCAATGGTAACCCAGTGTATATTAGGTATATATCAGGTATTGGTCCGTTAAGACTGGTATTGTAAATCTTGTGTAGATGATCCTTTATGTGTTTGCATTAGTCTCAAAATCTAGTATGACTCTCAGTGGTCAGTGTAACGCCTTATATACTAACGACGGTTACTGGAGAAAACGCGAGAAACTTCCAGGGACGGCTAGTAATTATAGAACGTACATGTTACTATAAATAGGTTTCAGGTGACAGAACGTACGTAGTACCATATACGTCTAGATAATTCGGGAACTAACCATTAATATCATTTCATCATTGTGGCTATACCAGGTGAGAAACATAAATTTAGTTATAAGTATATGTTATCGCTCATGTACAATTTCAAGTGACGTATAAGATCTATATTTAGCTAACATGTAGTGATAATGTAGGTATTCTGTATACCAGGCTATTCTTGTATTTCGTCATCATGGTGACAGTCCATTTATACGACTGACATTTTTTGATATACGGTTATGTTTTATCTATTTACGTATAAGGATACATATTTTATATTGAATATTTTGTCACATCTGGACATACTCTAGTAAATAATCGTCCTAGATACAATGGGCTCCCATTACAATGTAAACATTTATGCCACAATTATCACTTGAAAAGAGAATAAAGACTTTATTTTGGTGACTTGACATTAACTATTGATTAAGTGTACATTACTGTGATATATGACAACATACCACCTACTGGAAGCGTAGACGCGCTGGAGCTTCCAGCATCCCTACAGTAACCGTCGTTTTGTATGTCAGAAATAGTTTGTGTGTAAACCAAAATGCGAGCTATATCCGCCACGTGAGACATAGACGTGTGGTAATAGTTTATAACGTATAACAAATGCAACCATATTTGTTCTTTATATATATATCATATTTACTGATAAACATTACTTGACTTAATGCAGGATTATTCCATGTAAAATTTCAAATATTTTGTTTGTCTGTTATCGTTTAACATGGTGAGTGCAAATGGATAAAGATCCGTTCTTGGGGGTATGTAGCAGATATCGGACGATACGTTAAAGTCAATTTAAACAAGCAGAGACAATGTGACAAAAGGTTTAGATATTTCTAATATGATTGGGAGCTTGAACTGATCCTATGATGTTAGATGTAATCATATCAGGCACTAACCAAAAAGTGTTGAATAAATGAATTTCATGTATAAGCTCGTTTCAGGTGAAATTCACGTGAAAGATTTGCCGACCGCATCCAAGTGTTTATCACTTGTCATGAATAGTGACAACTGTTCCATATGTGAAAAAGGTTAGGAGATGTTCCTAGTAAAGTTTAACTGTCTATGTAATCCCAGGATGAGAAAACGAATGATTTAAAGTATACGTTCGTGACAGCATCGTATGACAAATAGAGGTTCCCCAACGATTGATGGTTGGTTATCGTGTTTACATTTAACTCGAGTTGGTAAACGTTCTAAGAATGTAAAGACACGAGGTTTATCTAACTAGAGCTTTTTTCCCAAAACGTTCAAAAATTATCATTTAACCCATGTGTGTTTTTTCTTGGGAATACATTGTTCCTGTTTCCGAGCTGGGAATCAGTTGCTGTACTATGACGTCACAAGGGAAAATGAAGTCACAATGCACTGTTTTCTGACGGCATAATTGGTAGATTGACAAATGAAATCCCGTCCAGGGTGTTTCCCACTAGTGTGTAAACAAAACTGTTTACCAACTCTTAGCAGGTTTATCCTACGAGTCGGGAGTGAGGAAACCTGAAGTGGCTGTGGGAGAAATATACATCCACCACATCATCGTGTGACAAGTATATGTATTGTCTTAGCGTACACAGAATACTTTTATAATAGATATCAAAACGAAGGCATTATTAAAAAAATTTATTTTTTTATTGACTGTGTTGTTATAACACAAACAAGGACTAATACTCAATAGTATAATATATGGCTTTATAACAGAAACAAACTGCAATGATTAACGAAGTTACAATGTTATAATGAATATCAACGATCAGTCTATCATTCGACAGAAAACAATTACTTTTCACTTGAAACAGCATGCAGAGTCATGTAAATATTAGGAAACTTTAAAAACAAATATTGTATACTACATTTAGACAAAACTTAATCATTCGATACAATTTCAATTCAATTCATTACCAAGCGCACGATACCTATAGGTTTATGAAAGTTACATATTGCACAACCTTTTACAAATGCCTAATTCAATTAACTCATTTAAATAAATATATATGTGTCCCATTATACTATGTCAGTAATATTTTTAAGCGAAGAAAAAAACAAGGGTTTTTCCGAAGAAAACTTGTATCATATTAAAAAAATCTATTGCATACAAAGGTTTTATGTAAGCCTGTTCTGTTAATAATCAATGTTTGATTAAAATACAAAAATTAAATATTCTCATCATATTATCCCAAACTACAGTTCAAGCGGATTTCCTTTCACACAGAAATTGTTTAACCAATGGCAAGTAAGACACACCAAAAATAATATAATTCCATACAAAAATTACGCTTATCCGCCTTTAATTACAAATTCTTTTCAAAAAACACAAGATAGAATCTAAGAATCACATGTTATTATCACTCTCCTCTATTCATTAATTATGCTGTGAACATCTTTCAAAGTTTATCATACACATGGAGGTGTGTACTTGTCTCTTTGGATTTGGTTCATCACGAAGCCTAACTCCTTATATATGGAGCTGTGACAAGAAACTCTCCGTCAGATCTCTTTGAGCACGAGAGTTTGCTGACGTCAATGTCGTCTGGTAACGTGTGTTGTGTGGCGTAATACACTGATCGCGATACCCCATCCTCACACGTCTTACTCTGGGACTTGACCAGTAAACAGTTATCCTTGACTAGCACTTTGACGTCATCGCCGGCGAGCTGGTCTTTGTTGAAGGAGAGTTTGAACGCCTTCTGTGTCTCGTCGATTACACTCTTCCCATCCTCCTCACACTTCTCCACCGCCTCCTCGACATGTGTCTCCACATCCTCGTGGTGGATCTCAAGTTCTTCATTAGGACACAGACCTGCATCTCCATTTTCAGTTAGAGATTGGTCGAAGTCAATTGTGAGATCAGTTCCCCGAAGGTTAAGGTCACCGTCGGTATTTGTCCTTTCAGGCTCAACAACCTCAAAGTCCTCTTTCCCAATAAAGCTTCCAACGCTCTCGGGATACACAAAGGCGTCGCTATTCTGTGTGTCTCCTTTTGAGTCCCCTTTTCCGTCCTGAGCTGGTAGGGACTTTTGTTTTTCCTTCACGATCTCCACAGGCACCTCCAGAGACTCCTTATTTTCGTCCTCGATTGTGACATTTGCTATGATAGTAAGAACCCCATCTGATGAGAAGTGACTTTTCATGGAGCAGACGTCGACCCCTTCCGGTATAGTCACGGATCTGTTACTCTCGTAAACGTCAGAACAGTCCCCCTCCCCTTCTATGCGACGGGCTTTGATGAGGACACACCCCGCCTTGGTGGTGATCGTGACGTCATCTGGTCCATATCCTCTAAGATTCAGTTTGCGTACCCAGTTCTTGGCCTTAGGACGTTTGTGTTGTCCATACTGTTTGTCAGATTTAAGGTTCATCATAGACTCAAAGAGGGGTAGAAGCATGGTGTCCGTCCAGTCTTGAAAAAGGCAGCTGTCCCAGGGGTAGGTATACCGAGGCATTTGTCTTGGGGTGAATGTCTGTCTGCAAGTTGATGGTCGTCGACCCCAGCAAAAGTCCGGATAGTGATGAGGAGCAGCTCTCAGTGTGAACATTTTATCAGTGGTTTATCTCCCCTGTCAGCTAGAATCAATATTGCAATGGTAACCCAGTGTATATTAGGCATATATCAGGTATTGGTCCGTTTAGACTGGTATTGTAAATCTTGTGTAGATGATCCTTTATGTGTTTTCATTAGTCTCAAAACCTAGTATGACTCTCAGTGGTCAGTGTAACGCCTTATATACTAACGACGGTTACTGGAGAAAACGCGAGAAACGTCCAGGGACGGCTAGTAACTATAGAACGTACATGTAACTATCAATAGGTTTCAGGTGACAGAACGTACGTAGTACCATATACGTCTAGAAAATTCGGGAACTATCCTTTAATATCATTTTCATCATTGTGACTATATCAGGTGAGAAACATAAATTTAGTTATAAAGTATATGTTATCGCTCATGCACAATTTCAAGTGACGTATTAGATCTATATTTAGCTTACAAGTGGTGATAATGTAGGTATAATATATGTAGGTATCGAAATTTAACAGATCATTCTTGCATTTCGTCATTATTGACATTCCATTATACGATTAACACTTCTTGATATACGGTTGTATATTAACTTGTAACTAGATATCTTGTACTGTGAACACTTTGCCACATGTGTATACGTCCTAGTTAATCAACTTCCTTGATACTGGGAATTCCCCGTACAAAAGCCACACATGTGCACACTGACAATCTCTTTCTATATATGTGTCACGGTGTGTACACTTGCAGACGAGTAAAGGAAAATAAAGAATTGAGAATTTTTATCAAATTAAATGTTTTCCAAACATTAAAGTTGTGTCGGTCTGCTTGTAAACGTGACCAGGAAGTGGTAATATTGTTTACAGACGCTAGCTCCTGTGTAAGTGACATACCATTCTAACTGTGGACATAATGCAGGGGCTCTAAAGCTTCCCTCGTCCCTCCAGTAGCTGTCGTTTTGTTTGGTACAGAAGTAATAAACATACCAACGAACAAGCGACGTGAGATAATGATGTGGGCTAATATATATATATCTTTTTTAATTTAGTGAAGGATTTCTGGTACAGGATTTCGTGTCCTCTACACCAGACTCAAAACATAATGAAAGTCATTAGTTTGTAACGACATACCTGTCTATAAATAAGCTTTGAAGTTATATATTAGGTCAATGTTTTCCTAGGTTTTTTTTATCAAGTTCATTTTTAAAACAGTTTAAATTATTAGCAAACACTACATTTTCCGGTAAGCTATTTCACACATTCGCAGTTCTTAGTAAAAAGCTATTTTCACTCTTCATAATTAAGCACTGTTGTATAACACCTGTTTTTGTTTTTGAATTGTTAACATTGTTTATACTTAACAAAAATTCACATTATACATGCTTATTCCATAGAAGTCAGTTTCCTTTAAGATTTTTAGGTAAAAATTGTCACGAAAAAGAGGGAAATTAAAAACACATTGTCAATAAGATTTTTTTCCGATATACAATAGGACGTTCAAGATGGCAGGTCGGAAAAATATTAAATACTTTACACATTTATGAGATAAAATCTGAAATATTCTTCCACTTTTAATACGTATTGCGTTAAAGTTACATAAACAACCATAGGCATAAAACATTTGATACGATGAACACGTCAAGATTAGCATTTGAAAAAGGTTGACACGTGTATCTTAATCTTGGAATATTTGACAGGTGCAACTTCACCTGTTAAAACATTCAATATTTACTTATTAAAACGTTTAAGAGCTGGTTTTTCTACCTAGGTAGTGCGCTATATCAAATTTTGTATATTTCTTTTATCATTTATTTATTTAGACATTATTAAATTTTTAGATTTTATTAAAGAACTTTCGTAGCGAAGCATACATTTCCGAAAAGTAATCCAAAGTAAGGTTTCGTACACATGAGCCTGTTTCATGAAACTGTTCTCATGTTCAAACTCAAATAATATGAAAGAATATTGGAGAGATCAAATGCTGAGATTTTTTTTCAATGTTAACACTCGACTTTTTAATCGTGCGACAAGTTACCAGATTGTTTGCTTGAGCTTGCATTTTTGAGCATGCAGATGTTCATAACTACGGATCGAGATATATACTTAAAATGTTCAAAAGATCAAGAGGTTTATACACGTGCACGTGATAGCCTTCATTTAGAATAACTCAACATCAACCCCGAATTGATTTGGAAAATACTGATGTTCCAATTTCTGTTTTATGCCTGGGGCTGTACTTTGTTTGTAGTAATACTAAAAGGCATTAAATTATATTAAGAGATTTTCGTGTAGACGGCCGGTACCAGTCGACTCTATAATGACCCTGAGGGGATGGTATTACGTTTATAATAGAGAACTACATGTAAAACGTGTCAAGACTGCACATTTCCCCCCAAGGTCTATGCCTGGCTATGGTAATTAGACCATGATCGCGTGTCCGGGGAAGTGTTTTGGACGATTCTGCAGAAATTAAGTCGCAATATACAGGTATATGTAATTAAATCTGTACTTACTGATAATGATGTTCTCTTGATATGGACGGAATTCTTTTAATTCATTATGTTGTTTGGTGTTTTTTTCATTCGATTAGCAAGACCTGACATTATCGCACAGTGCAGAATGTGTCATAATCGCGGGGTTATAAATTAAACCACCTGTAACAAAACCCAAAATCGTATACATGTATATGCAGTTTATTGGGCTATAGGTATTGCAAAGTTACGTAAAATAGTCAATTAACACACACACACAAGAAAGCGTTGTTGGGTAATATATGCATAATTACAAAAAGGACCAGAAAGCAGACGACATGAAGTGTCTGAGAAGTGCTCAGCCTTTAAGGGAGAATTTCCAGGTACAATAGCATGTAATTAATTGGCACGTTTTCGTATACACGCGGCCTGACCATTGGTCAATGATCTGACCCGTTATGCTAATTAGCCGATCCGGGTTAATAGGACTAATATTTGTGAACGGGATTACCGGTGAATCGACTGCGAGCTTTGTGTATACAACACAATTATGGAAATTTATCTTACCTGTATGGGCCATGCTTGAACGAACATGTTTTAAAACCCGTTCTTGCCTGGGCTTTGTTTGTCGAGAGTAGGGACGGGCACTGGGGCATTACAGATCTAGCGTTTACAAGTGGTGTACGTACAGTGTATACGTATACCCAGACACGCACATTCTTCAGGGAATTGTCCTTATACCCATGGTAAAAGTGGAAGCGTTCAATAATGGCGGACTTAGACTCTGCTATAGTGTGGACGGACGGTCAGGTCTCGGCCAAAGAAGCCGTGAACAAGCTGGGACTACCGTGTATGGTTAAGGTTGTGAATGGATGTACACACGCCGACTTTTCGGAGGGTTATTTGTTAAAGCTCGACTTCGGAATAGCCATTAAAAAGGTAGCGGCATGTTTTGTGTCCAAACGTTCCGATAGTACGGGTAAATCGGACGAAATATTCATACCCCTGGGATACGCGGGGAAGGTGAGGATAGCTCGCGAGGATGCGGGAACCAAGATATACACGACGCTGAAGGACCTGATAGAGGACTTCCCGCGGTATGTAAAGGTTGAGGATGGCTTCTCCTCAACGGGGGATGGCAGCGGCAAACCTCTGGCGGTACCGACCGGAGCCCAGCTCGAACTGGATAAGGCAATAGGAACGGCAAACCTTTACTGTAAGTTCAATGATAAGACAATCGTCCTCACCACCAAGGATAAAATCAGGTTCCGGTTGCTGTCAGACGACACGACGTATACATTACAGGAAGTCGTCGACAGATTACATTTACCGCAAACTGTCCGATTTCTTGACCCGCAGTTTCAAACGGTAGCCAAAACTGACCTGAATGGGGAGAAGTGTGACGTCATCGGTGACACATTGAAGCTGAGTCGGGTTTCAAACCATGAGGTCATTGTGGGTCTTCTGAGACCGTCAGTGTCACCCACATGTGGACCCGGAACTGCTAAAAAGAAGGTCCAGCCCACGCTGGCATTATTTCCTCTCCAAGCCAGTGCTGCTGTTAATGATGTAAAGGTCAAAGTCACTGCAGACAAAAACGACAAAACGTATAAATCGACAATGGCTAAACTGTTCCCCCAGACAGTGGACAGAACACTGATTCAGGAAAGTTTTTATGTCGACTTGACGAGTAAAGTTAACATACACATACAGAAAGACAATACATGGATTACCGTCAAACCATCCCCAATCAAACAGGATCCTGTCCCCTCTCCCGCGGCCACGCCACCACCTCTCCCCCCGGACAGGGACGAACGAAAACTGTCCCCCAGGTCCAAAACACCGACATCTCCGATTCAGTTGTCTCTTCCTGGTGCCAAATCCCCAACCAAGGATGACGGCCCAAAATCTCCGAAAGACAAAAACGCAAAGAAGGACAAAAAGGACAAAGACAAAAACAAAACAAAATCAAAAGAATCGCCAAGACCCAGTAGCGGAAGTTCTGGTAAGTCTGTCCTCTGGTATGGCTAATATTAATAATAATGGCGCCTTTAAATTTTACAAACTGTATTTAAAATATAGTGGACACTCAAGCGGACTTTTCTTTTTCTTTGACATTGGATAATTATCCTGGCATGTTCTACCACTAAAGACATTGAAATAAATCTGCGTTAACTTGAATGACCAGTACCTGTTATAAGTACAATGTCATTGCATGAAGTGGAATTACACAAGACAGCTGTGACAGTTTGAATTGATTGACGAGCCAGGTATTGACATATAATTTGTATAGATGTATGATCCAATTATATAGTCGATTTTTATACAAAATTGTTTCGTAATTATTGGAATCACGATGATATCTTCTAACTGAGACAACTTTTATACTGATTTTCTAAACATTGTTCAGGCAGGTCAAGTCCCCCTTCCTGGCTGTCTATACAGACGGATGACCTTCACATCGCCCCTTCAACACCCTCCCCATCCCCGCCCCCTGCGCCGGATGTACCGGTGAGGAACGTCCCCCGCAAGCCAACGCCCTCGACAGGTGAGCAACACATGACAATAATTATTAGGACGTATTTATGTTAATATAACCAGGTAATTAGATATGTATATCCCCGCTATTACTGTATATGACCAGGTATTTAGATATGTATATCTCCGCTATTACTGTATATAACCAGGTAATTAGATATGTATATCCCCGCTATTACTGTATATAACCATGTAATTAGATAGGTATATGCCCGCTATTACTGTATATAACCAGGTAATTAGCTATGTATATCCCCACTATTACTGTATATAACCAGGTAACTAGATATGTATATCCCCGCTATTACTGTATATAACCAGGTAATTATATATATAATTAGATCTGTATATCCCCGATATTACTGTATATAACCAGGTAATTAGATATGTATATCCCCGCTATTACTGTATATAACCAGGTAATGAGATATATATATCCCCGCTATTACTGTATATAACCAGGTAATTAGATATGCATATCCCCACTATTACTGTATATAACCAAGTAATTAGATATGTATATCCCCGCTATTACTGTATATAACCAGGTAATTATATGTATAATTAGATATGTATATCCCCGCTATTACTGTATATAACCAGGTAATTAGATATGTATTTCCCCACTATTACTGTGTATAACCAGGTAATTAGATATGTATATCCCCGCTATTACTGTATATAACCAGGTAATTAGATATGTATATCCCCACTATTACTGTATATAACCAGGTAATTAGACATGTATATCCCCGCTATTACTGTATATAACCATGTAATTAGATATGTATATCCCCGCTATTACGGTATATAACCAGGTAATTAGATATGTATACCCCCGCTATTACTGTATATAACCAGGTAATGAGATATGTATATCCCCGCTATTACTGTATATGACCAGGTAATTAGATATGTATAGCCCCGCTATTACTGTATATAACCAGGTAATTAGATATGTATTTCCTCGCTATTACTGTATATAACCTGTGTTACTAGCATGCGTCTAATGTTCTCTAAATATGTTCCACTGCTCTGTCATGTTTACAAAACAGTTAGATAACTGAATAATGAATAGATAACCAAGGGAAACACATGGTCATATTTCACTGAAATATCACTCGATCAATACGACAGCCAGACCGCAGGTACAGTGTATGATATAAAACTGTTGTGTTTGTGTCAGATAAACAGTTCATTATGAGTACGGGTGCCTGTGTTTATGTAAAGACTTTATTCAGCATACAGTTTGATAAATAATGACCTGTTTCTGGATCCCTTCATCAACATCTTGATATTAAACTCAAACCCAGTATACTGTATCCGTACAACTATATATGATCTATAGTTTAACAAAGACATTTTAAACATCCCATACCACATCCATGTACAGTTGTATACATCTAAATGCATGAACATATTTGTACAGATTCTTTATGTGAAGTCATGCCAAACGTACGTAGTCTTTTTCTGTAGTTAAGCAGTCACTGGGTGATAAAAAACTGAAAGATGTATATTCAATCAAGCAGTCACTGGGTGATGATATACATATAGATACCTACAGTGACGGGAATGTGGGTACGGTCCATTTTGTACCATAATTACTGTGTTCATTTTCTTCAAAGTGTTATTTAACGTTGAACGAGACATTTATTACACTTACATGTGTTGGCATTTCTTTATGATGTAGAGTAACATAAGAACTCATATCCCGAGAAATAAATACCCAACTTGAATAAATTGAGAGATGAAACATATCTAAACTTTAAATACTAGACACTCTGTTTATATACTATATATGGGATCCGATTTCGTATGGTAGGTGTATCACTAAGGGTTGTGTGTGTACGAATGATACATGTATTACTCAGGGTTGTGGGTGCGTATGGTACGTGTATCACTAAGGGTTGTGTATACGTATGGTACGTGTACCACAAAGGGTTGTGTGGGTACGTATGGTACATGTATTACTCAGGGTTGTTGGGACGTATGGTACGTGTATCCCTTAGGGTTGTGGATACGTATGGTACGTGTATCACTAAGGGTTGTGTGGGGACGTATGGTACGTGTATCACTAAGGGTTGTGGATACGTATGGTACGTGTATCACTAAGGGTTGTGGATACTTATGGTACGTGTACCACTAAGGGTTGTGTGGGTACGTATGGTACATGTATTACTCAGGGTTGTGGTTGCGTATGGTACGTGTATCACTAAGGGTTGTGGATACGTATGGTACGTGTACCGCTAAGGGTTGTGTGGGTACGTATGGTACATGTGTCACTAAGGGATGTTGGTACATATGTTACATGTATTACTAAGGGTTGTGGGTACGTAAGATTCATGTATCACTAAGGGGTGTGTGGGTACGTAAGGTCCATGTTATTACTCAGGGTTGTGGGTACGTATGTTACATGTATAACTATGGGTTATAGGTACGTATGTCACATATATAACTATGGGTTGTATGTACACATGGTACATGTATTACTCAGGATTGTGGGGACGTAAGGTTCATATAATTACTCAGGGTTGTGGGGACGTACATGTATAACTATGGATTATAGGTACGCATGGTACATGTATTACTCAGGGTTGTGGTGACGTACGGTTCATGTCATTACTCAGGGTTGTGGGTACGTATGTTACATGTATAACTATGGGTTATAGGTACGTAAAAGGTAATACTAATAATAGTCTTTATTTAAACTACATATTGAGTCAAAGACTCGTCTACCATATGGTCAAGCATATTAAAAAATGTACGTTATTTACAACAATGATAAAATAGTTCTATAAATTGTAAATTGGTAAGAAAGTTTTTCATGTACATTTTAAATCCACTATTATCACAGAAACAGCTCTAAATGAACGATGACCCGAGCTTTCCAGCGGTGGGGGAGAGCCCTACCAGCATGGTCAGCCCAGGTATTACATTTTAACTATACAACAGTTAGATAAATAATGTGCTAGATTACACAAATTACATAAGCATACATGTGTGTATCCCATAAAACGTAAGGTACATGTATTACTAAGGTTGTGGGTTCGTTTGGTACATGTATAACTCAGGGTTGTGTGGGTACGTATGGTAAATGTATTACTAAGGGTTGTGGGTACGTAAGGAACATGTATAACTCAGGGTTGTGTGGGGACGGATGGTACATGTATTACTTTGGGTTATAGGTACGTATGGTACATGTATAAGGTACATGTATAACTAAGGGTTGTAGGTACGTAAGGGACATGTATAAATCAGGGTTGTGTGGGTACGTATTGTAAGTGTATTACTAAGGGTTGTGGGTACGTAAGGGACATGTATAACTCAGGGTTGTGTGGGGACGGATGGTACATGTATTACTTTGGGTTATAGGTACGTATGGTACATGTATAAGGTACATGTATAACTAAGGGTTGTAGGTACGTAAGGCACATGTATAAATCAGGGTTGTGTGGGTACGTAATGTAAATGTATTACTAAGGGTTGTGGGGACGTATGGTACATGTATAATGTACATGGATTACTAAGGGTTGTGGGTACGTAAGTTACATGTATAACTCAGGGTTGTGTGTGTACGTATTGTAAATGTATTACTAATGGTTGTGGGTACGTATGGTACATGTATACCTCAGGGTTGTGTGGGTATGTATGGTAAATGTATTACTAAGGGTTGTGGCTACGTAAGGTACATGTATAACTCAGGGTTGTGGGGGTACGTATTGTAAATGTATTACTATGGGTTATAGGTCCGTATGGTACATGTATAAGGTACATGTATAACTAAGGGTTGTATGTACGTAAGGTACATGTATAAATCAGGGTTGTGTGGGTACGTATGGTACAGGTATAAGGTTCATGTATAACTATGGGTTATAGGTACGTAAAAGGTAATACTAATAATAGTCTTTATTTAAACTACATATTGAGTCAAAGACTCGTCTACCATATGGTCAAGCATATTAAAAAATGTACGTTATTTACAACAATGATAAAATAGTTCTATAAATTGTAAATTGGTAAGAAAGTTTTTCATGTACATTTTAAATCCACTATTATCACAGAAACAGCTCTAAATGAACGATGACCCGAGCTTTCCAGCGGTGGGGGAGAGCCCTACCAGCATGGTCAGCCCAGGTATTACATTTTAGCTATACAACAGTTAGATAAATAATGAGCTAGATTACACAAATTACATAAGCATACATGTGTGTATCCCATAAAACGTAAGGTACATGTATTACTAAGGTCGTGGGTTCGTTTGGTACATGTATAACTCAGGGTTGTGTGGGGACGGATGGTACATGTATTACTTTGGGTTATAGGTACGTATGGTACATGTATAAGGAACATGTATAACTAAGGGTTGTAGGTACGTAAGGCACATGTATAAATCAGGGTTGTGTGGGTACGTAATGTAAATGTATTACTAAGGGTTGTGGGCACGTATGGTACATGTATAATGTACATGTATTACTAAGGGTTGTGGATACGTAAGGTACATGTATAACTCAGGGTTGTGGGGGTACGTATTGTAAATGTATTACTAATGGTTGTGGGTACGTATGGTACATGTATTGTGTACGTATTGTAAATGTATTACTATGGGTTATAGGTACGTATGGTACATGTATAAGGTACCTTAGGGTTGTGGATACGTATGGTACGTGTACCGCTAAGGGTTGTGTGGGTACGTATGGTACATGTATTGTGTACGTATTGTAAATGTATTACTAAGGGTTGATGTATTACTAAGGTTGTGGGTTCGTTTGGTACGTGTATAACTCAGGGTTGTGTGGGTACGTATTGTAAGTGTATTACTAAGGGTTGTGGGTACGGAAGGCACATGGATAACTCAGGGTTGTGTGGGTACGTATAGTAAATGTATTACTAAGGGTTGTGGGGACGTATGGTACATGTATAATGTACATGGATTACTAAGGGTTGTGGGTACGTAAGGTCCATGTATAACTCAGGGTTGTGTGGGGACGGATGGTACATGTATTACTTTGGGTTATAGGTACGTATGGTACATGTATAAGGTACATGTATAACTAAGGGTTGTAGGTACGTAAGGCACATGTATAAATCAGGGTTGTGTGGGTACGTAATGTAAATGTATTACTAAGGGTTGTGGCTACGTATGGTACATGTACAACTCAGGGTTGTGTGGGTACGTATTGTAAGTGTATTACTAAGGGTTGTGGGTACGTAAGGTCCATGTATAACTCAGGGTTGTGTGGGTACGTATTGTAAGTGTATTACTAAGGGTTGTGGGTACGGAAGGCACATGGATAACTCAGGGTTGTGTGGGTACGTATAGTAAATGTATTACTAAGGGTTGTGGGGACGTATGGTACATGTATACCTCAGGGTTGCGGGGGAACGTATGGTAAATGGATTACTAAGGGTTGTGTGGGTACGTAAGGATCATGTATAAGGAACAAGAATAACTAATGGTTATAGGTACGTAAGGTACATGTATAACTAATGGTAAATGTATTACTAAGGGTTGTGTGGGTACGTAAGGATCATGTATAAGGTACATGAATAACTAATGGTTATAGGTACGTAAGGTACATGTATAACTAAGGTTGTAGGTACGTATGGTACATTTAATTTATTAATCAGGGTTGTGTGGGTACGTATGGTAAATGTATTACTAAGGGTTGTGTGGGTACGTAAGGTTCATGTATAAGGTACATGAATAACTAATGGTTATAGGTACGTAAGGTACATGTATAACTAAGGTTGTAGGTACGTATGGTACATTTAATTTATTAATCAGGGTTGTGTGGGTACGTATGGTACAGGTATAAGGTACATGTATAACTATGGGTTATAGGTACGCATGGTACATGTATAACTATGGGTTATAGGTACGCATGGTACATGTATTACTAAAGGTTATGGATATGGATACGTATGGTATATGTATCAATAAGGGTTGTGGGTACGTATCGTATCTATATAACTAAGGGTTGTGGCTACGTATCTAATATGTATAACCAAGGGTTGTGTGGGTACGTATACGTAAGGTACATGTATTACTCAGGATTGTTGGTACGTATGGTACATGTATCACTACAGGTTGTGGGTACGTATGGTACATGTATTGTTATGTGTCATGTCCATGCGTGCATTACTAAAGGCTGCTTGTACGCATGGTATAAAGAGTACTGATCACTTAGTGTTGTTGGTTCGAGTGCCGATGTGCGTGTGAGCTTATTTACGAAGGATAGCCATTCGGATAGGTCCACATTCATTCGTGCGTGGCGTAGGGACTCGTAGGCACGTTCTATGAATGAGAGGGATGAGTATACCTGACGGAATGTTACAGGTCATCCTGGCGATTATCATAACTTAGTCTCCATTGCAAGTCAGGACCACCGAGGTATGGGTATACCGGAAGTGTATATAATGGTTATATTATTACAGATCGGACAAACATATCGGGACGCCCCCTGGTGCCAACTCCACTCGAAACAGATGCCTATGAGGAACCTATTAAAAATACCAAATTCGAACTCTCTAAAAAGTCCGATGCACAAGGTAGGTTTTCTTTTGTATCAAGTTAATTAACTCACTAGTTATACATGTACTTAGACGGGTAAAGCTTATCTCACATGAACATGCCACATGCTATTATAGCAGAAGAAATAATGCGACGTGTCCCTTTAATCTGCACGGTGACAGAAGTTCCATAATAACATTTTTGTGTCGCCTACGACGGATGTCGGAAAGACACATAGGCGTTGCTTTTTCGACGGCGACGGCGGCGTCAACTATGTTAAGGTTTTGCGTTTAGCTCTGTTTCTGACAAAGCTACACCAACAAAACCTCGATCATAGATGAAGCATGGGTAGTGGAGCTGAATGCATTACACTCTTTACTAGCATTTCAACGATTTCTGTATTTTTTGGGTAAAAACCTCAAATTTCTGGACTTAAAAAAAACCTCAACGCTAAGGTTTTGCGTTTAGCTCTTTCATATTAGGCTGTTTCTGACAAAGTATAAATGCTAGCGCAACCAAACTTGGGTCATAGGTGTATCATGGGATGTTTAGCTGAATGCATTACTCTCTTTACTAGCATTTCTACGATTTCTGTATTTTTTGGGTAAAAACCTCAAATTTCTGGACTTTAAAAAAAATCAATGTTATGATTTTGCGTTTAGGTCCGTTTCCTTATGAACTATGTCAAATGCTTATTATATTGACAAAGCGGGACAGGCGACACATATAATTACGCGTAATTCTTGATCTGATAGTGATAACTAAGAAGTGTATTAGTGAATTTTCTCGTTAAAATGTGTCTTGTCAGCTGGTGTTCTGCAATGCAACGTCACTGACGTAACACAAACTTAAAGTGACGTGTGACATGATTTTTAATCAGAGGAAAAATAGCTACCACCAAAATACAGATGGGTCCCCAGTTTGTATGTTATCAAGGAAATCTACAATTATTACATTGTTCGCAATATCGGTGTCAGTTTTTACCGTAACCCAACATACGAGGTGGGAGAAAAAAACAATCGAATTTTTTTCAGGATGAAAAATTTGGAGCAATGACCTAGGTAAAACTTTGGTTCGGAGTTCAAATTCCTAAACCCTATGAGTGGGAAACTGACGTTCTGGTCGGGGCCCCCCTTCTAGACACAGAGGCCTGAGAATCAGTTACAGCTATTTTTGACCTAATCAAACTTAAGTGTTTCGAGTAATTTTACACGTTTTAGGGGCTTAGATCAATTTAAGGTAAAAATACCCCCCGATGATGATAATTGATATAAACCCCTAAAACGTGTAAAATTACTCGAAACACCTTAGCTAAGGTCAGGTCCCTATATTTCTAGACGGTAATAGTAGGCTTTGTTTCAAGCGGATATAGTTGGGCTAGAAAATAATCCAAGTTTTCTATTTCCACAAAAAGTGATTGTTATCTTTTTTGTGTATGATTTTTATTTGAGACACTGTCCGACTTTTCTCCAACAGGACAAGCCAGCGAGTACGAAAGCTTACGACATAGCGCCGATGGACCCTACGCAGTGTTACAGAGTAAGTCGCGCACCATACACTTACTGTTATTGTAATCGTCCAGTTTAACGTTGTGTTCGTGCAAACCAATGTAATACGAAGCCGGTTACAATGCCTTTAAACTGATACAGTGAATATGGAGTTTGGTCCCGGTGGGGTTTTTCCGTTTCTGTATTCTTTTTATTTGTAACTACCGGGAACTGTTATCTATATACACGGTCTAGAGGTGCATTGGTGACTAAGTGTCTTACACTTATTAAACGTATCTAAACATTTACATCTACTTATGGACATTGGGATATACCGAATTCAAATATTGTATATGATTTTGCCAGCGCAAAAAAAAAAACAAGTTTCTTGATTTTAATGTTGGTACCTGTTTACAGGTGAAGATATATACGACGAATTGGACATTCAAGAAGACAAAGGTAAGGATTAATCGCATCGAGTGTGTCATCTTCATGTTGTACAAGACATATAGAGAATACTCGTTTTTTTCAGGACTCTTTGTTCTATAAGACATTTGGCGAGGTCTTCTTCTCGTATAAGCCACGCAGACAGGAAAACCCGTATTGTATGCGACACACGGAGAAGTTTTCTAGTTGAGTGAAATAAGTCGCAGGGAGATGTTTCTTTGGTCTATAAGATAAAATGGACTTTCTGTTCTAGGAGACAAATGAAGAGGGCAAAACATACGGAGCTATCTCGAATAATAGCATTTACTTATGTAACAAATCATGTTTCACATAAAAAGTACAAGTTAAAAACCAAAACCTTAATGGGGTTTTTAAGATGATACTGAATATATGTTCGTCTACTAATATTATCAGAATCTAAAGGGCCGCTACACAAATGTGTTTGTTTTTCAGATACGAAAAAGAAGGACAAGGATAAAGACAAAGATAAAAAGAAGAAAGGTGGTTTTAAAGTAGGTATCATATAAGCTCACCGTTTTTTTTTCAAATATTACAAACTAAATTAGCTTCTAAATAAACGCGTGTAAATTGAGATATCATTTATACCTCATATATATAATATTTTTACTGATCATGTGACGGGGAAACAAATATAATGTTCCCCTCACGCACTCGAGTTTCCATGTCACATTTCTTTAAATCAGAACGTGTGCAGTAAACGGCATATCACATGAGTTCAGAGCGGTAACGAACAATGGTGCAGAAGCCCGATCATCTTCACTGTTGTGCCTTTATTCTACATGTATTTCGGTATAAAAAATACAGTCATAAAATTTGATTGCCCTTGTAGTACAAAAACATCGTACTTTGTTTTCCGGAGATAAATCATGTTTCACGAGGCGTAGAAAACAAATAATCGTATTTCACCACAAGGACAATAAATGTACATGCATAAACTATACTTTATTATAACGATTCTGTTTCCGGTTCCGGGTCATAGTTAGTACGAAATACAGTCCGTTCGTTGGTTATATTATTCAAACATAGGAATCAACCTCATCACTGTTAGGGATTCAGAAAAACATCAGGATAGTAAGAAATAAATTAATGATGGGTACTTCTATTTTTAGTTTTTCACTGGAGGAAGAAAGAAAAAGCAAGAGGGATCAAGAACCAGCTTGTCTGAACTGGCCACGGAACCCGTGGAGCGACCAACGATGGCAATGGATAAAATCCCGGATATGTCGTCCATAGGGAAAGACAAGAGTTCCAAACCAAAGCCTGTTGGTACTGTAAGACCTAATTCCAAATCCCTGCCGGAAATCCCAGGGAAACCGACCGAGTTCAAGTCGTTCTCCGTTGTGAATCTGACGGAATGTCTGCATCAATGTGGTCTTCCCGATCTCGCTAAACTGTGCGAGAAGGAAAAACTGGACGGAGACTTCCTGTCCACGTTGTCCGAAACTGATCTCACCAAGGAACCATTCTCCCTAAACCCTCTACACCTAAAAAAGTTAGAGAGAATCAAAGCTGGTTGGCGACCAACGTAACGCGTGTTTTATATAAGTGTAATGTAATGTCTAAAATTGACTTGCACTGACTAAATACCAATATTTTGTCGGTTCCTTTGCAACAGGGTAAACGTGTCTTTAAAACTTGAATTGTTTACCTTGTTGATGCCACGCAGGTTCGTGACAAACTTAGTACAATTCAAAATCAAAACAAGCAATGAGACAAATCATTTCACCTTGTGCGCGTGGAACGTTTAATTGACGATCCCGTTTCAGTCGACTCTTGTTTCAGGTGAACCTAAAACATGATCCAGCAGCTGCAATAGAAAGTTGGCAAGAACTTGATCTCCAGGAAATTGACTTGGTGCAGTTAATTACATCGGACCAAACAAATGTGTGTTTCAGGTATCCCGACCTATCCAAGATTTTCCTGTCGAGCCTAGAGCATTATATCCCAAATTTATTATCAAGGCAAAGCTCAGTCGCTCATTAAAATAACTTTTTCGTGTTCGGGGAGCCTGACTACGCTCTTGACAGTTTTATATAGTTACTGTAATGAGTGGAAGTGAATTGGAAAATTTGAAAATTTTAATACCTGAAACACACATAGTTTTGTCTTGGCCTGACAGATGAAAAAATATGTAACAGATGGCATTGTCTCCAGCGTGACGCAGCTGGACTGCGTCTGTCCTAGACACATTAAGAGTTGGGATGCTGCCTCTCTCTAACCCGGGAGTCTGACCCTCCCTCGGGAGTCAATCCCACCCCAATATGTTTCTGTTCTTTGTGTAACTACCGGTGATAAACGGAAATTATATATATCTACTTCATATTTAACTTCTTATTACATTTAATCAAATAATGTTTCTGAAATAAGTTGACAATTCGTGTTTTAAAATGTCTTTTATTGTATTTTTAATGAAATTTTATTTTTGTAATAAAAACATTTTCTATAAGACATACGTACTCGTGTCTTCAATATTATATTTCACTTCAATAATATGAAAATACTGGTTGTAGTAGTCCTCAGCAGAAACTTATCAGAATTCGTGTGACATCAACACTTTCTCCCTTTTCACATAACACTGTTCATCTCCGACTCAGTCATGTCCAGACACAATTTTTACGTTGTATTGAGCTTGAGTCTGGCATACTGTAAAACTAATACAAGTTAAATAGGGCCACACAATTCATTTAACTCTATATAAACTTGTTAATAGGGCCACACAATAGTCCTATGATCCAACATAACGATATAAAATATCATAAGGATGCAGGACCACACCTAAACAGTCCATCAGTATGTAATGTCATATAGGGTCATACGATAGGTTAACGGTCCATCAACACAATATTCGGTCGTACAGGACCACACGACAGTTAAACGGTCCATAAATCACAATATTCGGTCGTACAGGACCAGACGACAGTCTTAACGGAACATTAAACACTACATTCGGTGGTACGGGACCACCCGACCGTGTTACTGGTCTATCTACACTATATTTGGTCGAATAGGCCCACACGACAGTCTTAATGGTCCATCTACACTATATTCGGTCGTACAGGACCAGACGACAGTCTTAACGGTTCATCAACACAATATTCGGTCTATAGGACTACACGACAGTCTTAACGGTTCATCAACACAATATTCGGTCGTACAGGACCAGACGACAGTCTTAACGGTCCATTAATCACAATATTCGGTCGTATAGGACCTCACGACAGTCTTAACGGTTCATCAACACAATATTCGGTCGTATAGAACTACACGACAGTGTTAATGGCCCATCTACACTATATTTGGTCGTATAGGACCACCCGACAGTCTTAACGGTCCATTAATAACAATATTCGGTCGTATAGAACTACACGACAGTGTTAATGGCCCAGCTACACTATATGTGGTCGTATAGGACCACACGAAAGTCTTAACGGTCCATCAATACAATATTCGCTCGTATAGGACCACACGAGAGTCTTAACGGTCCACTAAACTCAATATTCGGTCGTATAGAACCACACGACAGTCTTAATGCTCCATCTACACTGTATTCGGTCTATAATACGATAGGTTAACGGCCTATCAACGCAAAATAAGGTCACAATATATAGGACTACATTGATAGGTCAATGATCCATCAGCGCGATGTGATACATCATATAGGGCCAAAGACAGTGCTAACAGTCCATCAACATCCTATTCGGTTGTTCGGTACCACCCGACAGTGTTACTGGTCCATCTACACTATATTCGGTCGTACAGGACCACACGACAGTGATAACAGTCCATTAACACAATATTCGGTCCTATAGGACCACACGACAGTGTTAATGGCCCAGCTACACTATATGTGGTCGTATAGGACCACCCGACAGTCTTAACGGTCCATCTACCCTATATTTGGTCGTATAGGACCACCCGACAGTCTTAACGGTCCATCTACCCTATATTTGGTCGTATAGGACCACACGAGAGTCTTAACTCTGTCAACGCAAAATAATGTTACAATATATAGGACTACATTGAACTGTCAATGATCCATCAGAGCGATGTGATACATCATATAGGGCCAAAGCCAGTGCTAACAGTCCATCAACATACTATGCGGTTGTACGGGACCACCCGACCGTGTTACTGGTCTATCTACACTATATTTGGTCGTATAGGACCACACGAGAGTCTTAACGGTCCACTAAACTCAATATTCGGTCGTATAGGACCTCACGACAGTCTTAACGGTCCATCTACCCTATATTTGGTCGTATAGGCCCACACGACAGTCTTGTTAACGGTCTATCAGCGCAAAATAATATCATATAGGGGCATACGATAGGGTAACGGTCTATGAACGCAAAATAATGTTATCTAGGGTCATACGATAGGTAAACGGTCTATCAACGCAAGATAATGTTATATAGGGTCACACGATAGGTTAACTGTCTATCAGCGCAAAACAATATCATATTGGGTCACACGATAGGTTAACTGTCTATCAGCGCAAAACAATATCATATTGGGTCATACGATAGATTAACGGTCTATCAACGAAAAATAATATTATATAGGGCCATACGATAGGTTAACGGTTTATCAACGCAAAATAATTTTACAATATATAGGACTACATTGATAGGTCAATGATCCATCAGCGCGATGTGATACATCATATAGGGCCAAAGCCAGTGCTAACAGTCCATCAACATACTATTCGGTTGTACGGGACCACCCGACCGTGTTACTGGTCTATCTACACTATATTTGGTCGTGTTATATAGGGTCATAAGATAGGTTAACGGTCTATCAACGCAAAATAATGTTACAATATATAGGACTACATTGAAATGTCAATGATCCATCAGCGCGATGTGATACATCATATAGGGCCAAAGACAGTGCTAACAGTCCATCAACATACTATTCGGTTGTACGGGACCACCCGACAGTGTTACTGGTCCATCTACACTATATTTGGTCGTACAGAACCACAAGACAGTGTTAATGGTCCATTAATCACAATATTCGGTCGTATAGGACCATACGACAGTCTTAACGGACCATCAACACAATATTCGGTCGTACAGGACCACACGACAGTGTTAATGGTCCATCCACACTATATTTGGTCGTACAGGACCAGACGACAATCTTAACGGTCCATTAAACACAATATTCGGTCGTACAGGACCACACGACAGTGTTAATGGTCCATCTATACACTATTCGGTCGTACAGGACCAGACGACAGTCTTAACGGACCATTAAACACTACATTCGGTTGTACGGGACCACCCGACAGTGTTAATGGTCCATCTACACTATATTTGGTCGTACAGGACCAGACGATAGTCTTAACGGTCCATTAATCACAATATTCGGTCGTATAGGACCACACGACAGTGTTAATGGTCCATCTACACTATATTCGGTCGTACAGGACCACACGACAGTCTTAACGGTCCATTAATCACAATATTCGGTCGTATAGGACCACACAACAGTCTTAACGGACCATCAATACAATATTCGGTCGTATAGGACCACACGAGAGTCTTAACGGTCCACTAAACACAATATTCGGTCGTATAGGACCACACGCGGTCTTAACGGTCCATCAATACAATATTCGGTCGTATAGGACCACACGACAGTCTTAACGGTCCATCAATACAATATTCGCTCGTATAGGACCACACGACAGTCTTAACGGTCCATCAACACAATATTCGGTCGTATAGAACCACACGACAGTGTTAATGGCCCATCTACACTATATTTGGTCGTATAGGACCACACGACAGTGATAACAGTCCATCAACACAATATTCGGTCGTATAGGACCACACGACAGTCTTAACGGTCCATTAATAACAATATTCGGTCGTATAGGACCACACGACAGTGTTAACGGTCCATCAACACAATATTCGGTCGTATAGGACCACACGACAGTGTTAATGGTCCATCAACACAATATTCGGTCGTACAGGACCACACGACAGTTTTAATGGTCCATCTACACAATATTTGGTCGTACAGGACCACACGACAGTCTTAACGGTCCATCAACACAATATTCGGTCGTATAGGACCACACGACAGTCTTAACGGTCCATCAATACAATTTTCGGTCGTATAGGACCACACGACAGTCTTAACGGTCCATCTACACTATATTTGGTCGTATAGGACCACACGACAGTCTTAACGGTCCATCTACACGACAGTTAAACGGTCCATCAACACAATATTCGGTCGTACAGGACCACACGACAGTTAAACGGTCCATAAATCACAATATTCGGTCGTATAGGACCACACGACATCAACACAATAATCGGTCGTTCATGTCTTAACGGTCCATCAACACAATATTCGGTCTATAGGACTACACGACAGTCTTAACGGTTCATCAACACAATATTCGGTCTATAGGACCACACGACAGTCTTAATGGTCCATCTACACTGTATTCGGTCTATAGGACCACACGGCAGTCTTAACGGTCAATCTACACATTATTCGGTCGTACAGGATCACACGACAGTCTTAACGGTCCATTAAACACAACATTCGGTTGTGATCAGCAGCTTCTCCTCCGTCCTCGATTCAGATGAGAATCCCATTAGAATCAAACATTTTGGTGAAGTTAGGCTGTTCCATGAATCTTGTTTGCGCTGACGAGACAGACACTTTACTATCGAAAATATAAAGGAATATCTATATCAACAAACCCTCGATTCCATATAAGATCATAAAGGGCCACACGGTAGTTTTAACGACACTTCAATTGACTCGTAATCACTTGGCTGTGTGTCATATTACGTTATATACAGCTCGTTGACTTTTTTTCATAGGTTATAAGACACGTCAATGGGATTCGACTAATCGTTAATCTTAATTCTGAGTCTTTTGAATATTCTTTAATCGTGCCATTTTAGATAAGTCTTGCATATGCAAGTGGAAATGTATAATTATGCCTTTTCAAGACGAAACATGATAATTCATTGGAAATTACTTCAGAATTATATAATTCCATGTTAATCTTATTACGTAATCCGATCAGTACAATAGCCTACCTGGTGGGTTCTGACCACAAGTAATTGCAATAAGTGTCATTGAATCTCTCAGAATCGTTTATGTGTAATTAGTGATACATGTAATTACTATTTAATTGTTAAACTTAACCACCCTTTCGCTGGTTTAGCTTTATTGTCATTTATTTACACTTCACATTTCATTCATCCTCACAACAGCTTCCATATATATGGGTTTCACTCCTGATATCACATATCTACATTTGTAGTTTACAGTAAAGACATGCAATATAAAGAGCGATCCACCCTCTAGTTTCGTATATGTCTATGTTTCTCTAAATTCGCTCGAGCTAGAACGGCAAATTGTACATACAGTGGAGGGAAGACAAATATGTAGGTCACTACTAATATAACTATTAGCCCTATAATAACGTCGCGCGCAAAAAGACGCAAAGCGACAAAACGAAATAACGAAAAGACAAAAATGCACGAATAGGCGAAAACCACCCAAAGCAAAGAGAGAAGACGAAACCTGTCAAAAGACGCCATTTTATTTCTACGCTCCGGTCAATGTCTTCGATCATTCCACCCATTTACAATTAATGAAGTAGTCTTATATTAGCAGGGAAAATATATTGCGGTGGGTATACGAAAAAGTCTCGCAATATGACGGGTCCTTGCTTGCAAATACGATTCATTCATATCTTTATTTCATCCAAAGTAAGTTAAGAATATAACAGGCACAAAAACAGTTACAGTTAAGATTAGAAGAAACCCCAATGAGTTAAACATAATATTTGATTAACAAAATTCGATAAAAGATAAACAATAATAACTCGGTGGGTTATACCATTAGTAACATTTCGCAAATTAGCAATAAACGAACATTTACTGAATAGTCATACTGACCTTCTTTTCGAAAAACTAAGGCATTCTTTAACACTATGGACATGAGTGGTTTAAAATGGTCACGGTAGCATCTAGCAAAAAAGCTATTCGGCATTTCGGTCAGCCTTGTCGAGACACCAAAACATGCACGGGGTATTTATTTACAAAATTATACTAGTAGATATATTATCCCGCATGCAGTCTAATAAGCAGTAGGGGTTCCACATTATTGGGGCATCTAAAAAAAGGTTTGAAAACCATACACGCTTGCAAATTACTGAGGAAAAAAATTGACTCGTTCCGCTCGGCAATACTTTTCAATCGTTCCATATTTTTCCTGTACTATGATCTTTTTATTGAACATTTTTAATGCTACCGTCACTGTACCAAAATCGGGACAGTACCCATAACAGGACACTTGTGGGAAAACGGCCCAAGAAACTGTCATTCAATGCAAAGAATTGAAGTACTTTTATGTATACAGTTTTCATTTGATAATACTTTTCATGACAATTAAATTGTATTAAGCTTTATTGGCTGCTGATTATCGTTACATTGATAATTTAAAAGTATTCTTACCTAAAACAATTAAAAGACTTTCCTGATTTACGTGCCGGGCGACACTATTTATTTGGATATCATTTTCGAAGGTCTGTTTTATCAAAACTAATGCTAGTTTGGAGAAGAAATGTAATCAAAACCCTTGTTGACTCTAAAATATTTCAACTATGCATATTTCCTGTCGAAATATGGCGAGGGGCGGGTCCAGGTGAGGGCGTAATGGGCGTACGCCCTTTAAAAAAAACACAAAAAACTATCGTAATCTGCTAATATTGTATTGAATATGGCTACTTCATAATTTGATGCTAAATTGTTGAAATCCAGGAGCTTTTGAGCTTCCCCATGGACCCTCTACCAGGGCAACCGTAATTACGCCTCCCGTTCATAAAATCCTGGCCTAGGACTATTGAAATGTTAAGTAACGCCTTATACCCTAGAATTTGGAATTTCTCGTAATTGGTCTACTGCTGTTAAGATCCATCCAATCATTTTAATATACCATAGACAATTAATGGAGATAATTCGGCATAAAAAATGTCAAACCCTGACACTTTAACTATAAAATATACATGCTCCAAGCCAGGAACCGTTACATTAGTGCATTTCACAATTATTTTATGTTTTTGAGCAAACAAAAGGTATTTCGCGTTCTTTTTATAGAACCACGCGCCCAAAATGTTAAATTGTGATAGAAATGAAAAGTGGATAGTATCAAGGCTTGTTTATGAAAAATGAACAAACATTTTTTGAACTGATGGTATGGCATAAAGAACATTGACATTTATCTAAAAAGTATCCCGATTTATGTACAATGATTTGATTAAATGAAAAAGGTTGGTTGCTTTCTTAAATTGCTCCAGATGGCAAAAAGCTTCCTGTTTTTTTTATAATTCTTACATTTCCCGTTAGGAGTATTGATACAACTCGTACGTAGATACACGGACTTATAATTACATATATAGCATCTAATCTAATTCCGTGGTGGATATAAACGCGATTATATATTTGAATTACCTCCCCTTACATGCTCTTTTGTATTTCGAGTAAAATAAAGTGTCCACTTCCGTAGAAGGAAACTACATGTGGATTGAGTTGTGAAACATAAAATATGGTGTTTTACTTCACAAGCAAAGGTAAATCGGTGCTATTTTATATTACCTTCGGTGGTATTCCCATGTAAAAATGTATTTCAGATAAAATACCGATCACATTGACAGCGCTTAGTGTTTTTTGATGTTGGAAAAAAGTAACGCGGGTGATCATCACTGATTATATGGGAGACAAACTAGAGTACATTTATACACATAATGTATACTCATTTTATGATGTGTTAAGTAGATCCCCATTTAATTCGAGACAGGGACCGTACTGGAGATCGAAGTTTTATCAACATAATGATATAGCGCCTACAGTGAAAATCGCCACAACGGCGCATATGGATAATAATCCTGCATTTGAGGTAACAGTTACTCATTTCAGTTTCAGTTATTACTGGAACGGGGAAAATGTGAAATAAACATACACAAAGTTCTTTTAAACACTAGGAGCGAAAACCAGCGTTATTTTTTTCAACAAAATCCAATAAATAACACTGAATTACATTTGTGCACAAAAAAGCACAATTCTGATGTCTAACTTTTTGTGAAAATGACAAACTATATCACTGTTTTTGTTCTCCACTAACTTCATTGTGTAGTCATTGGGATCATCGTGTGCAAATGTGACAGGTGAGCATGATTTCTTTCTGTGTGCTATTTATAGATGTAGCTACTCTTCAACACATTATAAGCAATGGAGGTGATGTACAATTTGTCATTTTCACCAAAATTTAGATTATATTGATAGAATGACACCCTTTTTTGTTCATAATGTTTAAAAGGACTTTAATTTTCATGTGTTTTCATTTCGCTTTATTTCCCATTTCAGTAATAAAAGTGTTCTCAGAACAGTAACTGTTACCCAAATGAAGGGTTATTTCCCATATGTGTCATCCTGCCCAACCTGTCCAACACGAACGAAGTCGATGAAGAAATGAAACAATTTTGTTGTTATGGCTCATGACCAGTAAAGTTTAATTGCAACCTGTGATTGGATACCTGAACTCGCATTTCACCAATGATGGTCATTGTATGATCACCTTATATTTATAGGAAGTGAAAAGGATTTTGGTCACCTGACCAATCACACGAGGGTTCTTTTTTTCAGTTTCCTTCCACATCAATACATAACCTCTATGCAAATTCATTCATACCAAAAAGAGTGATTAATATAAGTTGATACATATAAAACTTGTTTCATGATTTGTGTTAAATAAAGTTAACCATATCAACCAGTGAAAATCATAAACCTATGGAAGTGGTGATGGTCTAAAAAACATACCTTGTACGTCTGAAAGCAAAGCTTACTATAAACAAAAGAAAATATAATGCCATTTGTTTTATTTGCCACCTGTGTTATTGTCTCATGTTACCATGGTAATCATTCCTCAGATTATTTCCTCGAGACAAATAATAACATACCAACCCTTTATGTAACTATTGGGAAAGTATGACAGATAACAAGGTTTGACAATACTCTACATTGCCAAATTGCCTGTTCTAAAATTGAAAATATTTATGAGGCAATATGTCTTTGATATTATTTATTCTTTGTTTTAGTTGTATCCCCTAGTTACTTGCTGTACATGGGACTGGACAAACATGAAAGTAAGTAAAGCTGATCCGATCAGGTTTAAACATTTCGTGATATACTTTTATATCTTCGGACAAAATCATTTTGTACCAATTCGTTCATTTCAGTATTGATATGTGATACATACATGTATGTATGTAATCATACATGCTACCAATATGCTCCCTTTGTTTCACACACTTTGCACTTTGTAGTTCATTTTATGGTTACATGGTAGTCCACTATGGTAATGCCAAATGTATCAATTGGTGAAACTCTGCCTCTGTATACAGGTGTACATGTATTTAGACATTGATCTGCAGAAATAAAGAGGAATACTCTCTGTAAAGATGAAGTGGAATATGGGGGTAAAAGAAAATTTGATGGTTTCAAATTAATTTGCTGTTCAATTATTACATCATGTATCTTGGATATTTCATTAGTGTTTCAGATTTTCTGAAGGTCGCTACAGAAATATTCTGGTATACTTGTGAAGTTGTAACATATATGTGTATTGTCATATACTTGTCTGTGATATGGGTTGTTTGCATTTGTGATACTGCTAGCATAGCACTGTACATTGGCAATATCACGGACCAATACATATCTGCCCGACACACACCATATCTGCCTGGCATAGGCCATATGTGTTTGACGTCCGGTTCAACACTTTACAGAAAAGATCACACCTCAAGCTGGTAATTTCCACATTTTATATCCATCTGTCAGGGGTGTAGCTACTCCTTGCACAGAGTGAATTCATTAAGGAATAACAAATGTTGTAAAAAATAATATGTGTGGGGCAAGGGGACCACCAAGCCCCCCATCCCGACAAAGTATGATATGGAAATGGTCATGTGATAACCTCTATATACTCATTGGGTAACTATTGAATACCCTTTATCTTGCACATATTTTCTGTAATTATCTTTTTTTCTACATTTGAAACATATTTTTTACCACCGCAAACAGTGTTCAAATAAAAGATTTACCTGAACAAACACTAAAATGGGCAGACAAATTACTGCAGTGTGCATATTATTATAATTTAGATCTTACTCTAAACATACACATCAAACACACTTGAATAAAAAAATAATCTTTTTTTTAGATGAAGATCTCATCAAGTGGGGGTTTCCAGAGGATGTGTGGTAAGTGTCCATTGAACAAGCTGTCAATCAAGTATAATAATCAGCTCAATCTGGATTGTCCGATTGAAAGTCAAGAGATGTTCCTACTAAAGGAATGAAAATACTTTTAAAAAAAAGATGTAGTCAAGCTTTCACATCAATGAATACTGTATCAGTTTTGTATTATTGGTGTAAAATTGATATTTGCAGGTTCCATGTAGACAAGGTGTCATCTGCTCACGTGTACCTCAGACTCCATACTGTAAGTATATTTATCTGAGACTCCATCCTGTAAATATCAAGTGTACCTCAGACTCCATCCTGTAAGTATCATGTGTACCTCAGACTCCATCCTGTAATTATCATGTGTACCTCAGACTCCATCCTGTAAGTAATATGTGTACCTCAGACTATATCCTGTAAGTATCATGTGTACCTCAGACTCCATCCTCTAAGTATCATGTGTACCTCAGACTATATCCTGTAAATATCATGTGTACCCCATACTCCATCCTGTAAATATCACATGTACCTCAGACTCCATCCTGTAAATATTGTGTGTACCTCAGACTCCATATATGTGTATGTGTTCTCAGCTTGCGTGTATCATGGACCTGGTAAGTATCATGTGAACCTCACACACACCCATACGGTTGTGGGTCCTTAGCTTACATGTAAGACTTTATTCTGTAAATGTCATGTAAACCTCACACTTGTGTAAACATATGTGCTCCTGTGTACTTCAGAGTTCCCCTATAAGTATCATCTTTGGAGGCTGTGAATGTGTACCTTACCATGTACATTATACTAACAATAAACCAGGAGTTCTGACAGTATATCAAACATACACTTGTACCATTCTCCAATCTGCTGTAGTAAAACATTACAACATTGACTACAGTGTATTACTTTGGTAGTTATCAGTCCTCATCTGCACTACCAAAGGGCACTCTAGGTTTCCAGTCGGTCTGTCTGTCTGTCAGTCAGTGCATCACTCTGTCGAATGCACTCAGGTATTCTCTACTCTCTGTCACCTATAATGCCAAATTTTGTGTGCAAGTACCTCCTTGGATGGCAGATTGACTTATGATGAATTCAGTATTTGTGCCATATGATATGTACAGAGCTACATCCCTTTGTACATTTTTGGCATCACAGTTTGTCAGGAGGTGGAGGGAGTATAAATTGCCTGCAGCACTTTGCCTTGCTCCACAATATGATTACGGTGTCTTCTCACCTAGCCAACATTTGGTATTTTTGTTACCTACAGGTAAGATTTTCATGTTGGCCAGGTGAGACTAGTGTTGAGTGCAGAACAATAGCCTTAATTACAGGTAATCGCTGTAGTCAAACTCATAAAAGTAGATAACTTGAGACTATATAATATGTTACTGATCATTTATTTATTTACCTAACATTCAAACATAAATACTATGAAATACATTACCTATAACAAGTATAGGTAATATAGATATTAAAGAACAGCAAGTATTTAAAAGCAATATTTGGCACTAAAACATATTCTTATATAAAAAGCATATTAATCCAAAGAGATATACATCTGTAAAAAGTCAAAAACCTATCGCACATAAAAAATACATATTTCAAGAACTAAAGGCACTAAAACATATTCTTATATAAAAAGCATATTAATCCAAAGAGAAATACATCTGTAAAAAGTCAAAAACCTATTTCAACTTCAACTTCAATGTTTTACTCGACAAAAACCATGTATGGTCATCACGTCAAAGGTGACTATGTACATCCGTGCAGTGTGGAGCCTTTGTGCGGTTAAAACTATATACAATCGGAAAAGTCTATTTCACCTCTCCCCTGACTGCCGCCTTTAAGGCGTCCAGGTCCTCGATGCTGGCGACGCTGGGTGGCAGGAGGTTCCATGTTGTGATGGTGCGGGGGATAAAAGAATGTCTGTATACGTTGGTTGCCATATGCGGAGTATAGAGTTTGTAGGGGTGGCTGTTCCTTGTTGTTGTGACGGTGGAGTAGGTAGGATGGTAGTTGGTTGGTACTGCTATGTGGTGGTGTAGAATCTTGTGCATAAATATGATGTCCGTTATCTTGCGTCTGTGTTACAATGTATTCCATCTGAGGTCCTTTATCATCTGTGTAGTGCTGTCAGGTTTGATGTAGTTGAGGGGCTTTTTTAGTACGAATCTTGCTGCGTTTT